ACAACTCTGAGCCAATTGTGGCAACTTGGTGCATTCAGCCCCGTCCTTGTTGTTATGACATCTTAAAGATGGACAGAACTGCACCGACCACGCTAAGCGCAAGAAGCATTAAACCGGTTTAGGCCCCCTGATCTTGTCAGAGTAGCAAGAAAAATAAATACTCAAGCAAAGATCTGTCTAAAAATGTTGTGTTTATGTAGCATCTTCCCAAAAAAGTACAGTAGTACACCATTAAAATATGATATGGTGCTTCAAAATGCTTGCTGTAAGCCATATAAGTGGCTTGGTTAAATTGATGATTGGAATTTGTAGCTTTTAGCAGTTTTCTTCAAACCGTCTCATCCGCTTACACTGGCCAATCTGCCAGTTTCTATCCGAGATACCTTTTAGTAACTGTGATGCTGCAATGGTGGGCAGCCTGTTTTGATTAGCTTTTTTGCCTTAAGACTTCTATTCTTTAACCACTTTTGAAAACATCAAGTCTCCCCTAAGCGCTTTCTCTCGGCTTTCCGAGAGTAGAGTGAAGAATGAAAGTTAAAGCACATGAGAAAACAGTCATCCATATCCGTCTATTTGCGATAATAGGGCTCCGTTGACCATTAACCCCGAGTAATCAGGTGTACCATTCCAGCTGAAAATCAATCTGGTTAATATTTTCCAGTTGAAGTCTCTTCGTTTGGCTGTATGGGGCTCCTCCTCGTTTTATGGCCTCTTATGTTTTTCCGACACATTGCCCTTTTCACACGCAATTACCTCCTCAGCTCCATTTCAGGCTCATTAGCAGGACTTGCAGGCTTATTCCTTCCTAAAACCAAAGGCGTCAAGGAATACGACTTCCACTTCCACAGCTCCTGGAAAAGGACCGTTTAGCTTATCCTGAACTGTACGACTGCAAAGCCGTTGAATTTCCAAATGAGAAATAAAAAGGGAATTGAGCACATGATCTCTTATAATAGGAAGATCACATTGGATAGATGAATGTGAGTTTGATAAGTTGAGTTATAGTTTCGTCACTTTGGCTACACCGTATTGTAGAAGCCATAAAGATTTCTTCTGCAGATTTCCGCATGTTCATTTGAAATCAGCTGGTTATTGTCCATGAAAAATACTTTTAGAAACTTTGATCCCTACAATAGCCATGTAACCTATCACGTATTGCCCTTTGATCTCTACTTAATTTAATGTCTGAGTGGTTAAACCTGGATAACCTTCATAGCATAAACCTCAACAGTCAGCTCCGTTAGTCACTATAGTCACACCGCCTCATGACAAAGTCACCGGTGAGATTTGTTTTTGAGAGTGATTTTTGTTTGCAAATTAATTCTCAGTTACACTTGCACATTGTTAAGTTTTATTCACTTCAAACTGTGAGTTAAAATGATGCAGAAATGTATGTTTTGGTGACTAGGTAACACACATTTTCTTGAACTGATAATGTAAAAAAAAAAAAAAAAAAGTTCAATCAACTGACAAAAAATCAGATACACACTTTTGAATGAATTACTGAAGCTGCCAGCATGCCAAAGCCAATCCAGTAAGAAGAGACAAATTGGAGGTGTAATTATATTTATTGAAGTTAGCAACAGGAAGAGAATTTGCCGTTGAGGATTGGCTAAGCCTAAACCAAGATAAGAGATGGGACGAGATGCCGTGGAGACGAGCTGCTGGTGCAGAGGAGTGAAGCCAGTGGGTGGTTGATGGAAACTCTCTGCAGTTAAATTGCATTGAAGGAGGTCATGTTAGTGATGGGACGCAAAACAGAAGGTCTAAAAAAAGAGATTCCAGGGACTGATTGTTGGTCGGACGTGATGGTGTCGGAATTGTTAATGTTAGAACTTTGAGTGAGAGACAAAGATTAGAATCAGGAGAAAATAGAAGACATGGATTCACGTTGGAATGAAGGAAAAAGAGAAAAGATTATTTAGGAACGTTTCCCAAAGCTTGGTGAGGATGTGATGTAGGTGCGCTGTTAGAGATGTACCAAAACATCAGAAGACATCAGTGTATGTCAGTGGATCCCCGACCCTTTGGCTTGTGACTCCATTAAACAAATCAATGTCTACTTATGAACCATCAGTGTAGGAAGAGTTGTAAGCCGTCCAACCAAAGAGACAGTTTTCCTTTCAACATTGTTTCCCTTCAGGCACCAAAGAGCTGAAAGTATCCACAATAATAAATAAAAAGCATAATGTTGTGTTACAAAAATAAGTCAATTTCCTTATTTGCCGCCTCAATCTTCTTGTGCCAGCTTATTTATGTCTCGGAAGAGTTTTGGGTTTAGAAACTCTTACTTTGCAGACCAAGCATTTGAATACTACTACTAATAGACTGCTTTTAATATACTACTACCTCCCCCGCCACCTCTCCTCCTCAAAAAGAAGAAACAGATGTTCAATATAATAAACAAAAAGATTTAAACTGTGACTCAATGGTTTTATCCGTAAACAAAGACACAAAGAGGAGCAAGCGTTGAGCCACTTAAAATACACCAGTCACTCAAATCAGGATAAATAATAAAAACATCAGGCTCCTTTCTTTGTTTGAAGACGAGAATAGCTTTGTGATGCAGCATCATAGGAGAGGACTTAACAACAGCTAACCATAAAGTATTACACTCGGCTGCAATATGCAACGGGATGAAATATTTAGCACCCTCAACTCTTCGGTTGAGTTATGTGGTATTTTATTCCGTATAAGACACCTCTAGTTATACTGACTGAAGACTTGTTATTTGACCAAGACGGTTAAAATCAAGATATATACTGTATATATATTTCATTTTGGTTTACATTCTGTGCCTTCTGACAGCTGGCTATCGATGACTCCCCACTGACGTCAGAATGACTGACATCAGATCCTGATCTAATTGACTTTTAACCGCTCTGCTCTTAGTGTGTTTCTCCATGCGGCCTTGAGGTAAATCTTGTAAAGCAAAGTAATGTTACTCTCATTCAGTCGCTTCATTTATTAGCAATGCTGTCTGGCAAGACTTCATAGATCTTTTCTTTACAAAAGCATCCTCCATAGGGATTTATATTAATTGACATGTCTGGAGTAGTTTCGGATTGGATCCCATTCGATTATTAACATATATTTTATTTTACTCAAACTAAATTCTATTGTCTGTATCGCTTGATTTTAACAGGAACTTTAATTCAATACGACGGCTTCATCAGAGCATTTTAAGATGTGAAGATGAATTTAATCTTTTTCTATCTCTCTTAGTGTTTGGAAGTTGCTGTTTTATCCGATACAAATACACCCACTAGTGGAAGAGTTTATATCCATCTCCACATAAACTACTACAATGGAGAAAAGCCAAGGTGTTTTATTTATTTTAAATGAATCAATATTACTGATAATAATAGTAATATATTCACTGAATTGATAATGTGGATCTTAGAAAAGGTGGCCTTTTGAAGTTGAATGTGCAGGGTTAAAAGTCATCCGGACATATAATATAGAGTGATGTGTTTTTCCGTTGTTTCAACTTTTCATTTAGCAACAAGGTTAATGTCTCTATTCTTTCGGCAGTGGCGGCTGGTCCATAGAGAATAATAAGGTGTGTCTCCACCATGTCTGTTGTTTATTACATTAAAAATACACTTTACAAATAGTCAATATTTGTGTTTTTTAAGCGTGGATTATATACCCGGCAATATTTTTAAATTAAGATATCTATGCAAAATATATGCTTTTCCTGCACATCCTCTCCGCTTGTCTGCACGTCTCAGCTGGGCTCGGGCAGAACGCGGCGGGTCTAAGAAGCAGTTAGCCAATCACTGATAAAGATAATGAGTGAATTGTTTCAATAAGATGTCCTTATTGTGTAAAATTGTTGGAATAAATGTTAAATATTTAACTGCAAAGTAAGTACGTGTTTGATACCCTTTTCTTTGCATTGAATCATACTTGGATGTTTACTGAAACTGATTGACCGGCCCTACCAAAAAGAAAATCCACCAGCCACCACTGGTTTTTGGGCTGTCTGGGGAGTTGTAGCCCCTTAAACCTTTTTTGAATTAGGGCTATTGAAAAGTAGTCATCAGACATTATATAAAAATCCTGAAATTAAATCTGACCTTTCATTGTTACTGTTGGGTGACATTTTCATTATTTTTGTTTTTTATTTTGTTATTATCCCTCATATGCAAACTCCAAAATGCTCACAGAAACTGGGTTATGAATCTGACCTATTGTGTTCAGGCAGGCCACCCCACCAGACACAAATAAAGTCCCACTCCCTGACCTCTGTTCTATATGATGTAACCTGTGACATCTTCTCCTTGGCCTTAAATAACCATTTTGATCTTTTCAGTGCAATCATTCCAGTTTCTGGAAAGTAGCATCAAACTGCACCTTTATAGAATAAGAAAAAAATGAAGCTGTAAATACTTGAGCAGAAGAAATGAGCCTGTACATTTTATTCTTATTATTTTATTATCTGCAGACACAAGTACATAAAATCCAGATGGTGTTGGATAGTTTCCTAAATAATTTTTCTGGGAATGAGAATGGAAGGTTTGTTGACATCTGTCTCCCCCTGCTGCAAGAGGGTGTTTGTTGTGAGTGGATTCCAGTAAAAATAAGACAAACAGATTTCCAGGAAAATGTTTTCTCATCATTGTGAATTCCATTATGCAACACATTATTATGCTAACACATCAGGGCTTTTTCAGATTCCTGATGTAACATCGGCACATAATATATACAACCTGCCTAAGAACGTCATCAGCATTAATATAATATTGTCCATCCAGCGGGTGCTCTCTGTCTGCTGGTGTGAGCGCCATGCGCGTATATGAGCATTTCTTTTATTCCAGACGTTTTCAGGTCGGGGGGTTATTTCAGGGTGGGACGGCGCCCCCCCTGGTGTAATGGTAGGGGAAACACTGCAGCTTATTTCCATATGGGTTTCAACTTCATACCTAGGAATGCGGCCAATGTGCTCGATTGGTTGTCATCGGCAACACAGAAGATAGCTTTCTCCGAAGTCCTGTTTAAAGTCCTACAGTCTCTGCCTCTAGAAGAGGCCTGAAGGTGACCTCCCTCCTGAGGGAGAAACGGGTGAGTTTGACCCAGTGGTTCGTCCTCTCCCTCCGGTGCAGCAGGCGGTACAGAGACAGGGTGAACCTAGCCAGCGACAGCGTGCAAACAATCATCACCAGCAGCAGCGAAGTGTAGATCATCATCTGAGATTTGCAGCTCTCAACTCTCTTCCTGTACTGATACATGAAGGAGGGCGATGGCTCCTCAGTCACTGGCCCCAACGGACAGGTAAAGATCTCTGCAGTGGTTTGTGGAGGAGGGCTTGTCTTCTGGGTGGTTGGTTGCGTAACTGTTAGCCTGGTGGTCGTCGGAATTCTTGTTGAAGGCGTAGTTGTCGTCATCGTGGTTGTGGTCGTTGTTGTTGAAGATGTAGTCGTAGTCATACAAGTTGTGGTCATTGTTGTTAAAAGCGTAGTTGTAGTCATAATGGTTGTGGGAATTGTTGTTGAAGGTGTAGTTGTAGTCATAATGGTTGTCGGAATTGTTGTTGAAGGTGTAGTTGTAGTCATAATGGTTGTGCGAATTGTTGTTGAAGGTGTAGTTGTAGTCATAATAGTTGTGAGCATTGTTGTTGTAGGTGGAGTCGTAGTCACACTGGTTGTGGGCATTGTTGTTGAAGGTGTTGTTGTAGTCATAATGGTTGTGGGAATTGTTGTTGAAGGTGTAGTTGTAGTCATAGTGGTTGTGGGAATTGTTGAAGGTGGAGTTGTAGTCATAATGGTTGTGAGCATTGTTGTTGTAGGTGGAGTTGTAGTCACACAGGTTGTGGGCATTGTTGTTGAAGGTGTTGTTGTAGTCATAATGGTTGTGGGAATTGTTGTGAACGTGTAGTTATAGTGGTTGTTGGCATTGTTGTTGAAGGCGTAGTTGTCATGGTGGTTGTGGGTGGAATTGTTGTCAACGCGGTGGTGGTTGTGGGCAAAGTAGTTGGAAGTGTAGTGGTGGGTGTGGTAGTGGCGGGTGTGGTAGTGGCGGGTGTGGTAGCGGTGGGTGTGGTGGTGGTGGTTGGTGCAGCGGTGGTTGGTGTTGTGGTAGTAGCGGTGGTGGTTGTTGGTTGGGTCGTTGGGAGGGCCGTGGTAGTTCTTGGAGTCGTTGTTGGGGAAGGAGTGGGGCAATACAAACGATCCTCGGATAACGATTTGATTTCCTGCCCTTTTAGGTCGTCTGGATACTCACAGACAACAGGAGACACCATCTTGTCCGAGTTGGCTTTCATCCAGAGGTGAAGAGGTATCAGATTGCAGTCGCAGTGCCACGGGTTGTCATTGAGATAAAGCTTCTTCAGCTTTTTTAAGGGCTCAAAAATATCCTCAGGAAGCGTCCGCAGGTGGTTGTGAGCCAACCTGAGTGTCACCACTGATTGTAGCCTTTCAAACACATCTGCGTCCAGCGACTGTATCCTGTTGTACTGTAGATTGAGCTCAATGAGCTTCTCAGGACCTTCAAAGTGCTCTTGGTCCAAGGTGACAAGGTAATTCTTAGACAGATCTAATTTCCTGAGTTTCTTCAGAGGGCTGAATATTCCTTTAGGAAGAGCGCTGAGATTATTTTGACTCAGACTTAAATCTGTCATTTTAGGCATTTCTCCAAAAAGCACAGGTGGTAGACTTGTCAGTTTATTCTTCTGTAGAGTCAGCACTTTGAGCAGAGGGAAACCAATGAAGAATCCTTGAGGTAAATGAGTCAGAAGATTACTATCCAAAAGCAGCTTATTTAGTTTGTCTTTATGTGGAAAAATATTAGGTGACAGGGCTGCTATTTGGTTTCCTTGCAGGCCAATTTCTTTCAAATTTGGCAAATTCACAAAAATGTCATCGGGAATAGTGGTCAGCTGATTCTCATAAAGCCGCAGCGTCTGTAGTTTGTGTAGTTTTGAGAACCAGTCGGTGGATACGGTAGACAGATTGTTTTTGGCCAAATGGAGCATCACTAGGTTCTCCAGACTATCAAAAGTCCCGGCTTCAATCGATTCGATCTCGTTCCCGTGTAACTGCAACTCCGTCACTGTTACAAGACCGTCGAACAGGCCGTTCTCCAGCCTGCGGAGCTTGTTCAGCTTCAGTATGATCTTCTCCAGGTTGGGAAGGCCTCTGAACACTCCCACCGGGATCAACGTTAACGGAGTGCTGGAGATCTCAATGTGCTTGAGGTTCGACAATCCATCGAAAGCTCCCGGCTGAATGGATGTCGTGTGGGTGTTCATGAACTCCACCTTTTCAAGCTGCGGGTTTTCCACAAAGGCTGCTTCGGGGATTGTTTTAATCTGGCTTTCCACAAAGAAAACCTCGGTCACAGCTGGTCTCAGCAGGCGGGGGATTTCTGTTGTAGATGAACTGAAGACATCCTGGTTTTCTTTGGGGCAGTCTGTTTCCTTTTCACACGGTTTGTTTTGAGTCAATGAAGACTTGAGCAGTAAACACAGACAGAGGACAACAATTTCTCCTCCTGACATGATTATGCACTAAAAAAGAAATAAAAGGTTGAGTATATTTACCTAGACCTTGTATACAGTTTAAAAAATAGCAGTTTGTTTTCTCTTGTGATCGCATATGAGTGTCAACAACATCATATCAAGTTATCAATAAATCAAGGAGCTGTTAGAATCAAATGCCAAAAGCTTACCGTATTTCCTGTCCCAGGATGGACTCGGTTATTACAGCAAACCAGCTAAATATCATTAGCTATCCTTTGTACCGATGTTGGCCTGCAGTGTAGCTTCCTGTGTGGGGCGTGGTGGAGCGCACTTGCACACACTGCAACTAGAGATAAGAGCCGGGACCAAATGTTTTTTGATATGATATTTTAGACAGTTACTTCTCTTCTCTAGTTTTGGAAATAATGTATGATTTCACTACTGTTTTAAAGCTGTACTTACCATATGACGTGTTATTCATCCAGGACAACAGCTTAAACTATATAGAAAAGCTTAAGTATTCCACATTAATGCAAATACTCTAAACATAGGGAGAGTGCGACGTTTATGGGGGGTTATTGGGAGGTATTTAATAGAACCATGTTTGCTATGCCCTGGCTGCGGCAACAGCCTTTTGTATTTTGCATTATCTGAACATAGGGATACGTTAAAAAACCCGGCGTAAACAAGCCTCTCTGATGAAAGATTGTTGTATTGGCTTTTATTAGCACTTTTTAAATGTTTAAAAACTACGGTTATTAGCACTTTTTAAATGTTTGAAGCATCTGCTGTCTGTTGAGCTTAGCTCCTGGAACTACGCACACACACATAGACGCAAAAACACACAAAGCACAAGCAGTTAGGTTGCTGTTGTAAAGGTAATGATTGTCAAGTTGGCCGGCAATCCGCTTGTTACTGTCAATGCAATAAAGTATTTGCCACTAAAAATCCATTATTTTAGGAATACATAATTATTTTATGAATACATGAAGGATAAAAGGAACGTGAAACCTAATTAATTCGGCCATCACTGCCATGTTTTTTCTTACTCCTCTGTTGGCTGAGACAAAGCAGCCATGGAGTAAGGACTGATACTTACAGATATGTTTGTGTAATTTATTCTTCATGAACTTGAAATGTTTTATTTTATTGACATTTGGCATTGGTTTCCAGTGACATATGAATGGCTTAATATCATTTCATTGGTGTATATATAACTGTTGCTGCTCCAGAAACTTCATAAAACATAAATTATGATAAACTCATACATCCTTTAAAAACACAATTATTTAGGCATGTAGAAGAACCGAAACTAACTTAAAACCTCCCTAGAGCATTACTATTGCCAGGAAACAATTAAACACATTACAGTGACTGGTTCGGGTTTTTTGGCTGCCATTTGTAATTGCAGACGGTAGAACTTGGGGATTTTATCAAAATGTTATAAACATTAATCTGATTCCCTTCCATTCAATGGGTGTTTTTTATACAATTGGTCGAATGAAAAGCTAGAAATAAGTAACATGGGGCTAAAGTTTACAGTGATTACCAGGGGTAGATGTTTACTATCACTTGTGAGATATCCATCCATCCATCCATCCATCCATTGTCAAACCGCTTATCCTGCACACAGGGTCGCGGGGGGGCTGGAGTCCATCCCAGCCAACTTCGGGCGATAGACAGGGTACACCCTGGATTGGTCGCCAGCCAATCGCAGGGCGACACAGAGACAAACAACCATTCACACTCACATTCACACATCTACGGGCAATTTAAAGTCCCCAATTGACCTGATCCCCAGAGCATGTCTTTGGACTGTGGGAGGAAGCCGGAGAACCCGGAGAGAACCCACGCAGACACGGGGAGATGCAGACTCCACACAGAAAGGCCACTGGGCGGAATCGAACCCAGGACCTTCTTGCTGTGAGGCAACAGTGCTAACCACCACGCCACCGTGCCGCCCCCTTGTGAGATATGAAAAGACTAATTTCTGCTAATGCGTGGTGTGTCTACTCAGTCCAAATGGTTTGTCTTCTTCTGGATAAACCACAAACTAAATTGGTAAAAAAAAAACTAAATCTACAAAACCAACAACATACCGCTGATAAAAGAAATAGGTCTAATGACTATAGGGATCTCAAGACCATCATACTGCAAAAAGTAGTAGTACTTTGTAAAAGCCTATGCTTTCAGGTGTGTTAATGTGTTACTTTATTTTTATGCAATGCTTACATAATGCAAGCCTTATACTACGTTTTATTCAAATAACTTACCCTCTTTTTCCTTCTGAATAATGTGTTTCTTTATTTTTATGCAAATGCTTACATAATGCAAGCCTTATACTACGTTTTATTCCTAAAACTTACCCTCTTTTCCCTCCTGAATAATGTGTAGAAAGCAGTTGATTTTGAGGGGGGTGAAACCTGCATGTAGTACTGCTTAGTTCAGTAAGTTTAACACAAGGTAAGATTCCTCCCACTAAAAGTAGTGCGTTTATTCAACGTGTAGTAGCAATTTGCATTGTGAGTCTCAAAACCATGAGATGAATTGTGTTACAGTGGAATCAAAATGACATGTTTTGATTTTTCTTAAATCGCCACTTGGCATGAAAGTAAAACTGCTTCCTAAATGAATTGTTGGTGGCACAAAAATCCATTGTAAGACTTTTGTTAATAACTCTGAAAAGTAATACTGATTCTGCCTGAATTCTATATTCTACCACAAGAAGTACAACTGTTCACCGCTTCCAAGCTTATATTCAACAAAATATCTGTGTTTCCCACAAGATGGCACTATGGGTTCATCATCAGCACATGCAACGTCTGTTCTACTTGTACAGCAGTAAAGGGAACGCTGACTAGTGCATTTGATCATTACAAATGGAGCGCTATGGCTGGTACACACAGTAATTACTAAGTACTTTCCCTTGGCTTTAAAAGTTCTCGGGTTGCCAACATCGGGTGGTCTAGACTACAGCACAGAGTTCTTACTTCGGCGGCCTATATTTCCCCTGCCTCTCTTCGTCCTCCTCCAGCACATGCAGCCGACGAGGACAGTGCTAATGATGACAGCGGCCACTACAGCAATGGCGATGAGGGCGATCCAAGTATCATTAGAAGTTGTTCCCGTCTCTCCTTGGCCTCCACTGGTGACCTCCTGGTGTTCTGATGTGGGGGTGGCCTTGAGCGCAGGCGAGGAAGTTGGAGGAGTGTGGGATGCTCTCCATGTCTCTGCGGGGGTCAACGCGGGGTTCTCTGTAAAGCTGAGAGGCAGGAAGTTCTCTTCTGCCAGTTCAACAATTATCTCACCGCTCAGACTGAAAGGTGTTTCACAGACTACAAGAGTTTGGTTGGTCTTTGATGTGTGCTTTTTCAGCCAGTCTCTCAGTGGCAAGATGTCCTTGTCGCACCTCCAGGGGTTCTGCTGCAGTAGAACGTCCTTTGCTATAGCGAGGGCATCCAGGCTCTCCTGTTTCAGGTTGGGAAAGGAGTTATTTCGCAGGTCTATCTCTCCCAGGCTGCTCAGGCCTCGTAGAAAACCCGACGGCAGGGAGCTGATGGAGTTGTGCTCTAAGGAAATGTTGACCAGACTTGGCAAACCTTGGAAAAGCCCAGCTTGCAGGGTTGTGAGCAGATTAGTGTGAAGGGATATCTCTTCCAGATGCTCCAAGCCGCCAAACGCCCCAGTGGACACAGAGCTGATCTGGTTGCGACTGAGCACCAGCAGACGGAGCTGAGTCAGGTTCCTGAATGCGCCATCCTCCACGCGTCTCAGCCTGTTGTCATACAGCCACAACTCTTCCAGGGCCACAGGCCCAAACACTCCTGGTCCCAGGCTCTCCAACTGGTTTTCATACAGGGAGATCTTGGAAAGGAGGGGCACGTTTAAGAAGATCCCTTGCGGGAGAGACGTGAGCCTGTTGTGGGAGAGGAACAGCTTCTGGAGTTTCAAAGTCTTGGAGAACAGGTCATGGTGGAGATGAGTGATAAGATTGTCCTGTAGGGATAGTTCCTCCAGGTTGCCAAGGTCATCCAAACTGCCGAGGGGGAGTTCCTCTAACAGGTTTTTATTTAGCCGAAGGATTTTCAGCTTAGAAAGCCCATTGAATGTCTCTCCAGGCAGTTGACTAATGTTGTTTCCCGAAAGAAAAAGGTGCTTCAGCTCAGTTAGCGACCGAAAAGTTTCCACAGGTACAAAATTGAAAAGGTTTCTACTGAGGTCAAGGTTTTTCAGCGCTGCCAACTGGGAAAACCATTTAGGGCGGAGTACGAGGAGCTTGTTGCCGTTCAGATTCAGAGTCTCAAGCTCCTGCAGATTTTGGAAGACGGTCTCAGGGAGATCTTCCAGCTCAGTGGCAGTAAACGCTATGGTATTTATGTCCGGAGTGGAATTAAATGTGCCATTGAGCACTTCCCTCAAAACAGTGTCATTAATCAGAAGGATTCTAAGGGCGTTGGAAAAATCATGCAAGTCCTCCGGTTTCAACAAATGGATACTGCAACTGGTGAAGTAAAGAACTGTGGTAGATCCGGGCACAGATGTGGGGAAGTCTGAGAGGCCACTGCATAAGATTTTGGTTTCTTGACATTTGCATCCACCCGGACACGCCCAAACAACGGCGTTGATAGAACAGAGAAGAAGGAGAACGCAGAGTGTCTGGGGCGGGTCCATTATTTAACCTAGAAAAAAAAAGAAACGGCTATGTTACAGTCAAGGTTTGTTATGATGAAACAGATTTACATGGGTGACAAAGGGCCATGTGAACGTGCCACGGTCCTCATACACGAAATAAATACAGCTTATTTGGTCCCTTGAGGTGCAGTCATTTTAACTGGTCCCTGGAAGCATTTCACCTCAGCAACTCCTCACCGCAGTCAAGTCCAAATAAAAGACTCTCCAATGGCATTGCTTCTCATTTTTTAAAGAATCAAAAAGTCTGGTGTGTTTTAAGTCCACACTAGAAACAGTCCACACTACAAACAGTGAAAGCCACATGGAGAATCTTTGCATTTGGTGTTTTCACTTTATGTACATTAATAGTTACTTTTCCAGGACAGTAAAAGAAGAGACTGTGTTTTTTTTCCTCTCATTGACAGAACAGCCAAAGGAGATTATCTGCATTTGAAATCATGACCATAGTAAAGCAACTGTTATTAGTGACGGTGCAGCCTCAGCATTCCTGTTTGAATTTAAAACTTGCAGAAATTGATTCAGCTATGCACTTTGTTGCCTGTGGCTTCATTAAGTTGGCTGGTACACCACCTTGCTTAGCAACCTTTTGGCACAAAAACTGTTTTTCAACAGTGTGTTTGAAGCTCACATGTAACGTTTGCTGCAGAATGTTTACGAGGTAAATCCCCAAACCTCGTTGAATGTGAACACATGTGTTTGGTTTACTGACACCAGCAGAAGTTATCTCTGTATCTAAAATACACAAGGCTGTGGACGGAGGGTGCGCTTGCTGTTTGTTATGGCACAGGAGACTCCGACAGAAAAGCGGTGCCAACTTAAAGACCTGCTTCTCAATACAAATCCATTTAGAGTTCTGCAACGTAATGTTGGCAAGCATGAGTTGTTGCTCAGTAGCTGAGATTTATTAGTGTGCACAGAGAGTCTTTCCGAGGAAGTAACTTTCTAAAGAGACCAGAATGTCCATTAATTGAGCCAGAGGAACCTGATTTTTATTTTTATTTTTTTAGAGGGTCATCAAATACATCTTTCTGCATCAAAGCTGTGTCCACTTTGTGTTTTTATGTTTTGTATCCGCCAGTGTTCCTGCTATTTTAAAATATATGTATTTTTCTTCCTTACTTTTAATAAGTAGTTTAGAGTTTTTTTCGTTAGGTTGGGACACTAACACAGATTTTACCACGATGAAAAATCCACTTTTCTTTACTTCAAAACAATACGACCTAAAAGAAAAAACACTTTCTGTAACAAACAAGGAGCTTTAGTGGCGTTTAAAAGACACACAACACATTCCAGCATCACTGCGTTTAGCAAACAAATAAATAAAATAAACAGCCAACAAATTAAACAGCCAAACCATATTTTGTCTCTGATGCATAATGCAAAACCAAAACCCCCATCTGCTCCTGACTGGGACAACGTGGAGAGCTCTGCTGTGCAGTTCAGAGGCTAAAGCAGACCAGCAGTCAAGCCAGTGAAGTTAAAATATATTTGTCAATTACACATTTGGATCACCTCTTAAACTAACACTAAGCATTCAAAAATAAAATAAAATTCAGTGAGTATCGGCAGTATTGTAATTTGTACATCAACTCAGACATTATCTTATTACATTATCAAGGACACAAAAATGTATTGTGAGGGCGATCCGAGTATAAAGCATAAAGAAAACAGCAGTTTTCCCGTTACAAAGGCAGCATGCCGTTCAGCAGAACTCACCTCCGTTGGTGGCTGACGATTGAGTGAACAGACACAGTGGGTTGGTGTGTTTATCTTCTACGTACGTCCTCCCTTCCTTTTCAACCTTCACAAATCCTCCGGTTTCCGGCACCATCTGAACCCTCACACCATCACATTTGCCTGCTCTTCGTCATCACTGGGTTTCCGTCACCAGCCAGCTTTGGGTTTTTCCCAGAGCCCGTTTTAGGTTGCCCCAGAACTGTTTAGCCACTAGCTCCACCACCCCCACCCCCTCCACCCTCCCCAGACAGCAAGGCGGCCCCTCCTTGTTTGATTGCATCAAAAAGTCCGTGTGAGCTGTGCTTCACTTTATGGGGATCCATGTGTTTCTCCTCTGGTGTATTTGTGTTGGAGTTTAGAATTAAAAGGGTGTGCCCATTTAGCTGCACATATCTTTGATGTGATGTCGCTGGAATGCTGCTGAGCCGATAGTTTGCGAACAGTTTTGGAGGTTCACAAATCCAACAGTTAGGGAATAACTGATTGCAAGATAATTCGAAAAACAACCACACAATATCCAAAAGTCTGTTAAATCTGACTGGTGTTGCGGAGATAATTCATCTTTAATGAACCCTTATGCAGTCATGTTTGGCAAAAGTAACAAAATGCTGTTGTATGATTCCGGAGAAAGAAATATCCTGCTGTATCCTCCTGAAACTGAAGAGAATTTAGCTTTAGTGCTACAGTGTTGAATGGTCTATTCCCCATATATTCAGTGAAACAAAAAAAGGCCGAGCAGCAAGTGTTCCACTGCGCTTAACATTCCTGAGTTGCCAAAAGTAAATCCATCTGTTGGAAAATTACAAACGAACTCTCCGCAGAAAGCAGATAAGGAGGGTGGAGTTAACGTACACTTTTCTGGTTTACTTACTGATATAACATGCCGTACCAGCCTCAGCTTCTTCTCCACATTAGGACGTCTTTTTTTATCGTCTTTGGAGCAAGGAGGAACATTTCCCCATTTCCCCTCCTTAGTTTCTAAACGTAACTGCTGGTATTACTGCGGGTGTTTGTCCCATAACTTCATTGATAAACTGGTACATTATACCAGACTGGGGGACAGCGTTGGAGTTACTGTTGTTTTATGAGTTGTCATCACTGTCGTTTATTTAGAGTTAGAGAGTTACTGAAAAGAAGCATGATTCAGGCTCTGATACTTTCATTTCCAGTAAACGTGCTGTCGGATGTTGGGAAACATCCAGACATCTAAACTGTGACACATGAATCATGTGAGAAAGTCTTCCTGTTGTACTTCCTTAGCAGCTGCAGCTTCACCATACGACAGTTTGTGAACCTTGAGCTAGTGATTGCCAGGCGAACCAGGTTGTGTCAGAAGTCCATGTTCCTCATCTGAGTGAGGTCAAAGGTCAGCAGTAAGTAAATAGATGAGCGAGGTAGGAATGATAGATTAATACGTTTACAAGTGTTCTAATAGCAACTATATGTTGATATAATGAGTTTAATTGTTTCCCTAAATGCTTCAAAAGGTATAAATACATATCGAATTAGACGTGACTGAACAGAGACTTTGATTTTATGATATAAATAAGATACTATTGAAGCTGTCTTGGACAAAATGTTCGGCTTTCTAACGATTAATTATTGGACTTAAGAGGATTAGCGCTCTACTCCAGACGCAGGAGTCAGCTCAGACCAGAGGAACAAATGTACTGTGTAAAATCCCACTGACTACCAGGTTAAAATAAATTCATCGCAGACAAATTAGGGTTGGATCCCTTTTATTTTCCACTGTGGTCAGGATGATTTCCTTCCCCAACGATCTCCCTCTATTACTGTCTGTGTGAGTTTGTGTGTGTGTGTGTGTGTGTGTGTGTGTGTGTGTGTGTGTGTGTGTGTGTGTGTGTGTGTGTGTTGGTAGGCCCACTGTTGTGTGAGCTCAGCGTACTGGAAAGGCCTAATCATCCGTTGCCATAGCAATGAACTTGAGTGCTGTTCGGCAATTCCTCCTCTTTTGTTTGCTGTTTGTTTTACTGTCCAATCACTTATTGTGGAATTTGTGGCATCCGCTGTCATTTTCTGCAGCTTTAAAAGATGAGATGTGAACTGTTTTCAATCATTTTATTGGCTGCATACGATGGTTCTTATATAAACGCTCTTGGATCACTGGAAAATAAATGGAATTACACATTTCTGTGCGTGTGTGTCATAATGGAAACGTGTCTTGCAATAGGAAGAGTAATCTGTTCTAGTAATCAGTTATTTTGCTCCCCATCCTTTTGTAATCTGAAAAAGGACTTTGTCAGAGTTTCCTGTTTTGGAGGTTTTTCTTCCTGGTATTCAATAAATTATTATAATGGTCATTTTGGAAATGAACATTCCTAAAAAAAATAGGAAACCCAGATGATTCGGTTTAAGTAGTCCTCTCAAGTAAGAAGTTTATGAAACTATTTCAATTTCAATATTTAGAAACATCAAGGATAGAGACATTTGACCATAAAGCATTTAATTCTGATGAATTACTCAACAATACAGCAACAGTGTTTTGCAGTTTAAAGCTTTGGCCACTAGAGGGAAACAAATAACTTGTGCTTACATCCGACTCCATGAACTTGAGTTTGCTTCATTAAGTTTTCAACATTACATGTTTTAACTACAAAAAGATATATTAATTCTACATTGGTAGTCAACACATTAATATGTATCACATTTTTAAAGCAAAAGTAGCAATGAAAGGATGACAAAAAAGGAGGTTTTATTTTGTGTTTATTTTAAAAGCAACAACTTGAGTAGTATCCCAAGTGTGGTCAATCCATTGAGCGTCTACAATTAGTCTGATTAAAAAGTAGTGCAATCATGCTCATGACAACCCTAAAAAGGGAAGTTCTAATTTGTCAGACCAACTTTCCCAAACACAAATCTATTTCTGAGCTAATAGAGAAATAACTAACTAACTATAACTTATTTTGATTTTGATTTATTGATTCAGCATTATTTAAATTATATCTCTATATGGATAAAATATTATGATAAACAAGTGGTAAAAAAGGTATAGCTGGTGAGAGGCTTACAAACTGCATTAACTAATGCTATATGTCGCATGCTATTGAATACGGTATTATCTTTACGTAATTCTTTGCTATCTTAGAACAAATCCTATCATTCTAAAATTCCAAGTCTGACTGTCCTAAAGTAACACTTGAAGATACCAATCATCATCACATCTAGCAAACCTACGAGTAAGAGAGATCTTTTATAAAATGCAGCCCGCAGAAAACCAACCGTATGGGCTCTTTGGCTCCAGGCCTGATAACATGTTGCGTTACCCTGGAGGATGTTAACACTTAGACTTCAGCTCATCCATGGACTTGTTGAGGCGATACATGCAAAACATGGCAGCAGCAATGAGGATCAAGCCTGTGGCTACAAGAAGGATGTAACAGAACAAGAGGAACCCGGTCAAAGCCGCATCCGAGGGCAGAAACCACAAGTACACCCAGCCCTTGAAAAGGTTGTGGTGAACAAACTCGGGCCCTTGTCCAACCACCAACGTGTCGTAGAAAGCAGGCGCCGAGCAAGCGGACGAGGGAGTCTCTGTGATGACAAGAAACTTGTTGGCAGGCAGAGTGATGGTGGGGGATTGGAAACTTGTTGGTCGTACCGTTGTAATTAAGGCGGCGGGTTTTGCCGTTGGAGGGTTTGTTGTCATGGTGACTTCTTGGGTTGCTACTCGAATGGGGGCAGATGTTTGTGTGGGTGGTGTGCTTGTTGATGCAACAGTTGTTGTCGGTCTGCTGGTCTGAATGGTGTGAAGTGGTGTCATTGGCTCACGTCCAGGATGATGTGTTGGTCTGAATATTCTACCGTCACAAAAGTCGATCTCCTCGTCCGGAAGAGAGTCAACCGTTTGGTTCAGTCGGTACGCTGGACTGTGACATATCACGTTAGCGCGGTCCACAACCACATGACGGTTTTGTTTCATCCATTTGCTGATAATACTACAAACGCAGTTCCAGGGGTTGCCACCCATCTTAACAACGGCCAAATTCACAGCTCCCTGAAAAATGTTATCCGGAAGGCTCTGCAGCTCATTGTTATCAATAAGCAGCTCCATCAGTTTGCCGAGTCTGGAGAACAGCTGAGGATGTAGAGAACGGAGGTCGTTTGATATCAACGAGAGCGTCTGCAGCTTGGGGTTGCAGCAGAAGAGGTCTGAGGGCAACTCTCTTAGCTGTTTATTAAAATTGAATTTAAGCTTCCTGAGTCCGGACATGTTGGCAAACAAGTTTCCAGGAGCAGTTGTGAGGTTGGTGGCGCTCAGATAGAACTCTGTAATGTCCGGCATGTGACCCATTAGCTGCTTTGGTAGAGATAGTAGCGGATTGTTGAAAAGGTTCAGCTTGTTCAGCTTGGGCATGTTGTAGAAGCTTTTTTCCGGGATCGCCTCAAGTCGGTTGGAGGACAGGGTCAAAGTCTTCAAGTTCCTCAGAGCCCAGAACACGTGAAGTGGGAGGCTGGTTATCTTATTCCGATGAATTTTAAGCTCCACAAGGTTGACGAGATCATCAAAAATCCCAGCTTCCAGCACCTCTAGTTCGTTGTAACAGATTGCAAGCACGCGGAGATTAGTTAAGTTATGAAAGATGGTTGGTGGAAACTTCTTAATGGAGTTCTTGCAAAGATTCAGGTTGGTGAGGTTGGTAAGTCCCTCGAAAAGACCTGAAGCAAGACTGCTCAGTCTGTTACTGCTTAAGTCAAGATCAAATAACTCTCTGAGTCCTTTAAACATATCTGGAGCTATGGTCTCCAACTGGTTCGAATCTACATGCAGCTGCTCCAGAGTGTTCAGCGGACTGAAGACTCGAGCAGGGAGGGTCGAGAGATTGTTGGATGACAGCTTGACAGACTTGAGCTGCGGAGCAACCTGGAAGGCTCCTGGATAGATGGTATGCAGCGGGCTGGAGGTCAGACCGAAACGCAACAGGAGCTTCTTGTTCGCCAAGCTCTGCTTATTTATGACGGTAATGTTTGTTCTATCAAGCAGCAGTTGGCTTGCGTTGACAGGCAGCAGCTCGGGTACATCTGCGATGGTGTTGCCGTGGCACTGGACACCCCCATCTAATCCACACAGGCAGCTGGCAGGGCAGAGCGCGTGGCAGGTGAGGTGTGGCAGCGTGACGAGGATGAGTGTTTTCCACAAGGTGCCTGCAAAATCGATAGAAATAGACATTTAGATGGACTATTAGTGAAGTCTCACTAATATCCCCCCCGAAACAGTTGAGCCAAGTACCGATATTTCACTGTTTACTTAAAAGAGCTTAAAAAAAAGTCAGCTTTTAATGTAAAACTGGACTGCAAGTATTGACATCAAATATAGGATATAATAACAATACAATCCTAAACCTGAGTTTGGGTTTAAACCAAAATAATAAAAAAACAATATTCAACCAACCTTTAAAGCGAGACTCCATCGTTGTCTGTTTGATATTACAATACTGCTACTGGGATGTATTCTGCTGTTATCAGAGCACCTTGTCTATCAAGTTACCCGGACCTCTGCTCCAACAGAATGCCCGTCCAAAAGTCAGCCATCGCACTGCACATCCTTCCTGCTGCCCAACCACAAAACCCCATCTCGCCTGTGGTGGACCTGGAATGATATGACACTATCAAATAAATTCTATGACTTATTTCCTTAACCTTAAAAGAATAATTTTGAGTAAAACACTGTATTTATGGTCATATTTAGAAAAGATAATCCCGGATTTTTATTCTCATTCACAAGGTTGTCATGGCCAAGATGGCAGGGTAACATTTTCACCCAACCTCCAAATAGAAATGCAAAATAAAAGACTTAATTAAAAAACAAACTGCATTAAAAAAATGTTTTTAATTGTAACAAACTGTAAACATATCAGACACTGTGTCAACCAGAGGATTGTAATTCATGATCCAAAAACCTGTTTTTCAAATTGTGGATGTTTAATCGTGTAGTTTTTTTTTTCGGTAGCTTGAATGGACTTTTACCAAAATTGTACCCTTTACATTTTTTGTGTTAAACCAGTTAAAGCACAGTGAAGATCTTCAGACTGCCTTTCCAATGGTTGCTTTATGTGTTCCTTGTATGTGCCAGGTTCAGGGAGTTTTAATGTATTGTTTTGAGTTTCCTAATCGGTCCTAAACAGTTGAGTCTAACTTCTATTTACTGGTATGGAGCGACGCACAGGATGCTGGCTCATTTCCTGTGGACTTATCTCAACAGGAAGGTCTGACTGCACTTTGCCTGCATACGCTCCCATTAATGGACCAAACTGAAACTGATAACAACCATTTCTGCATCAAGTCAGTTTGGGTTCTTGACAACTGTACCACTTTTTAAATGTGTCTTCTCTGAATGTGTCATGTGTGTTTTATTTCCCAGGGAGAGAAAGCACTTTTTTTTCTGCTATGGTTTCTAGTTGTTAACGTCTTACTGACAGTAATTATCTAGTCAGAGTAAAATTAAAATCTAATTATCCACATTTACTGTATGTGATAAGCGTTTCTCTTTTCCGTCAGTCAATGTCGTAAAAGAGAACTAGTAGTGATGGAAACAATGAGTAAGTGTGTGTTGCTGGTGGCAACTAAACAAACCTAAAACTGGGACAGAATTTAAATTCCTCTATTTGGAAAAAATTAATTAAAGTTTTCATTTTGTTTTCTGAAATTTCCTCAAATGTTTCAATTACATATTATTGGCGTTCATACAAAAGCAAATAGTGTCACAACAATTATTCTAGGTAATAATGACTCAATTGGGAATTACACTAAATATAAAAAAGATAAAATAGAAAACATTATTTTTTTGGGACTGAACAACCATAGAGCAGTCTATTGTTATAGTGCAGTGTTTCACCGCAGATGTGCATCATGTGCCACATTCTTTCCTTTACATTTTTATTTCCACCGATTCAAATATTTCGAATAACAATAAAGATAGGAGGGGGGATTTATTCAGAGTGCAATAACATGTGTTACTTTTTTTAACCAAAAGTCACGCAAATATTTGTCACCTCTTTTAACCCATTCAGTGACCAGTAATTTTCTTTAAAGCTCAAAAATAAAGTGTAGATTGACGTTATTTATTTTTCTAAATGAACAGCAGTCATGAAAGCAGTGACTGACGCGTTGGCTGCGGTACAAAAAAAGGTTTTGCCCAATTTGGCCACAAGAGAGCCACATAAACATGCAAATAAAAGGATAGCTGTCAAGTACATTTAGTCAAATCTGACCTCTTAGTGTTTCCAGTGAGTAGCTGATTATTTACAGATTAAAGATGTACACCTGCAGTCCTTAGATCTCCCATGACAGCGCCTCAGTGCGATGGAAATGTTTATTGATGACTTTAATTATGCTACAACTCCATATTGCATTGATAAATACAGATTATATTACAGGTGTTTTGAGTCTTAAGGCTATGTTGGGCTTTGCAGCAAGATTTCACAGTGTTCCTCCTCCTCTCGCATCCGTGTCAGACACAGTACTTCCAGAAGCAAGCTGCAGGCAGAAGAAGCACACAGAACATTAATACTGCGATGGATAGAATAAACTAAAAATATGAATAACTTTGCAGAAGTTCTAAATTCAACTCACGTTCGCCCCTCTTCCTACTTATGGATTTGCCTTCCGCCAAATTGGCTGTGATCTCCCTCTCCAGCTCCAGGTTCTCCCTCAGCACCCGCAGCTGTAAGCGGAGATCAGAGGGATTAAACGCACCGAGACAGGTAGACGACATCTCAGTAGCTGCTCAGTGATTTTTAGTGAGGATATGCCACATCACCTGTTTACACTGTGGTTAATCAAAGATTTCTGTATAGGCCACTTTTTTTTTTTTTTCAAAGTTACTTCATGGTGAATCTGTGAATTCTCTTACCTCCTCTAATTCGGCTAATTTATTGGCCAGCTGGAGACCTGCAGCAAGGAAAAACAGTGGTCATCAAAGCAGGGGATGCAATTATCTATAATCAGCATTTTATTTCATCTCTCACCTAAGGGATCATCCTTTTCGACAGGAACTACGCCTTTGTGTAAAAACAGTGATATAATCTTGCTCTGAGGATCTTTTGGATCATCAACCCGGTTTCCTGCACATACAAAACAATTACAAATGCAACTTTTAGCAGCCTGAATATTAGAAAAACAGACAGACGACCTGAACCGTTAAACCAAAATGGCACAGACGTAAAAGGGTGCGGTAGTTGCATCGACAGCAGCAGCTTCCATCCTATGCAGACCAAAAACAATGACAGTTTGTCACACTTACCTGGGTTAAATATGCTCCGTCCCTCCACATTCAGCACTCCCTGCAGCAGTAGCAAACCTAGGAGTCCTACGCAGTAGTTTACAACTGTTACCCTATCCATAGTTCTCATTGTCCCAAACTTTGCCGTCCTGTGACCACTGCCTCAAGTAACACGAGTAATCACTGCCTTGGGTCCATCGCGTCAATATATTTATCCTCTCAGGGGCCGAGAGGAGGGGCCACGCGGCTCCTTACGCACTAAAGCAATTGCTAGTCATTGTTGGTTTCGTCAATAGGCCACCTTTTCACAAACATTGTAGAGCGTCTGAGTGAAATACCGGGTTGTGACGCAGGCAAGCCAGTAACCCTACATCACTCTGACACGGCCAAATCAAACCGAGAGAGGAAGGTATCAATCAGGTTGTGAGTCTTGGCACCTGCAAGTGTGTGTCTCTTACAATAATTGCTTCTTTAAATAGATACATGGTCCTGGGTTGGTGTGGGAAGAAAGGGGCCAAGTAAATTGGTTGGTTCTCTAAGTGCATCGTAGCCAGACACCAACTCCTTTTTCTTGTCTTCAGGATGGATTCGGAGCTCAGGGAACATCGATCACTGCAGCTAAGCCAACTGCCCTGTGACTCCCGTGGACGGTGACAACCTCCTAAGTCACCGTCGGCCATGTCGTGCGTCAAGGCACATGCATCGTGCGGGATTCGGGAAATGAGCTTGATGGCCCACACTGAATTTGGCTGGTGAGGGTCACGCGTAAAAAAGCTGCCACGCAGCTTGTCAGGAAGCACTGCGGAGCCGAGTGAAGTCTGGTCGCTCACATCCAAGAGCCGTTCATGAATCCATCACTTTAGTCACTTTAGGCAGCATCTCAAGGCGTGCAAGGAGGAACAATCTCTTTCTAATTTTTTGTATTAGTCACACATAGTAAAGTGAAATGGGTTGAAGAGGCACCTAAAGCGGTTATGTTACAAATACAAATAAATAATTGGCATTATTAGGGGAACACATAACAGGGGAGCTTGTTGTGCATATCAAGTAAATATCACCATCATGCACCAAAGCCTAAACTTAACTAATTCAGCATTAAGTATGGACACAGCCACTGGGTCTACTGATGATGTCATTGACTGGGCAGCACATGGACCGCTAATGCTCAGTAGAGAAGAATTAGTGCAGGTGTGGTGGACACCGGCAACTTGAAATGCTGCAGTTGAACACTAGAGGGAGCATCTACATAATCACAATCATAACACGGACTGCTGTCAGACACACGTGTGTGTGTGTGTGTGTGTGTGTGTGTGTGTGTGTGTGTGTGTGTGTAGTGGGTATTTCATCAGGTAAATAAGAGATAAATGCTGTTATTGTAATTCAGACAAGCACGTATGCAGTCCTGCTGTTTTGTTTTGTATTATTTCGCCTGCAAGCGTATATTTCTCTCCTGACGTCATCACACATCTGGCCCTTAGTTATCTCCCGACGAGGGGAGCTCCCTTTAACTTTTTAGGCTCCGACTCCTTGCAAGCTGCAGGGTTTTACGACTGTTGAGCCTTGCGAACTGCGCCAAGTCGTCAAAGGGAGCGGGAACTATACCGGAAGCGTTATAATAAATCTTCCGAATTGACTTGCAAAGTACGAGCATGGCTGCTTAGGCTTTTAAAGTGAATTACTGGCCACAGACTTTGAATTGACCAATCTTAGTGTGGTCCGTTTATTTCCAGTAATTGTGTGACTTGAACTCATTATTACTTTATTATGTATTAATGTAATTACGTATGTCTGTATTTACTATTATTATTATACAATAAGCAATAACACACAAATATCCTTAAATCAATGTCAATGTTCATCATTTTTGAACTATTTTAAAAGTAGTGTCATCAAAAACTGAGAAATATTTAAAGAAATGACGATCCCTCCATTAAATCCTCAACAGGCCATACCTTCTAAGAGTGATGGGAGCATTATTGGTTTAGTCTTTAGCAATCACATGTAAGCAAACCAAAGTCATCCATCCTACTGAGAGGAAAAGTAGCTCAGTTCTCCCTGTGAATATCTCAATAACTACCACGTAATCTGATTATTTGTTGGTGTCATTGTCCCATACGATCACGAATAGCTCGTGTTGTAGAGAAACAAAATAAGCGACGGTTTTATGGGACTTCACCCGCCGACACATCCAGAGTCTTTTATTGTGACATTCCTAAGCGGAAGTGGTGTCTCGCATCCACATCGCTTTGTGTGACGGCGCGAGGAGGGAGGGGCGCTCGCGGAGCGTCTGACACACCAGCTCCCGCAGAGCAGCGACCGAGGCAATTACAGCGGCGACGTATCGGGAGAAGGCGGACACCGAAACTAATCAAAAGGGCCGACCAGCACCTGAACCACCGATCGATTTTATAAGCAAAAGGCGATCAATCAGCCCGCCGTTAACCTTCGGCGAAACGCGGAAGTGTAATTCAACGTCAACGCTCTTTTTGACTTATTATCGTTGACAACATGGCTGAATGTGACGTTAGCATCGACAAGAATAAACTACCTGGAGTGAAAGAGGGTAACGTCTATCACACACCTGTGAATTAAGCATCACGCGCACCGAGCTTGGTGACGCGAGCGAGGCGAATGTTGACTGAGTGACCGCGGCTGTTTTCCTCGTTGCTGGTTGTTGTTAGCACGGCTTGCTAGTTCAATGCTAACTTAATGCTGTGTTCTGTTAGCTAGCCGACGCTGATTAGAAGACGGCGGGGGGTTGTGCCCCGGTTTAGTGTCCCTGTCAAAGGTTATTTTAGCAGAACGAAAGCGAGTTGTCACATTGTGTCAACTTCCTATTTCATGTTTTGTGTTGTGGTTAAATGGTTTGTGGGGTAAATGGAGGTACGTTATAATCAAAGGGTTGTGTATACACAACGTGGCCACGACCCCAGTGCGCGCGTGTGTGTGTGTGGGAACCGTTTAGTAGTCCGATAATTAATAGCCTTCGTACCGATCACATTGTGGTGTTTTTGTGTCGTGAGCAATGTGTAGAGACCCTGTTTTGTTTGTTGTGATGAAAGCTTGGGAGGTCTTCCTTTTTCTTTTTGAAGTTCAAATCGGATCATTTCCGGTTGCATTCAGCTCTCTGCTGTGAAGTTACTGCTTTGAAACATTCTCTTGAAGAGGCTTTCCCAGCCACAATGAATCGAGACCCCCCCCCCCCCCTGCCCCTTCCTAAAACGTTTACAAACATCCACCACTTTGTCTACGTGTGTGTTGGTGATGTGAAGGTGTGTAGCAGGTGGAGGTGTGCTGGTGGGAAGCAGCTGCTCAGCAAGATGCTTGTATTCTGCTCAGATAGCTGAAGAACGTTCATTCCCGCTGCTCGGCCCGAAAGCCCCGAGAAGAGCTTTTAAATGTTCATCTCTTGATCATCATCTCAGGAGAACCGGTCCTGTCGTTGTGCTGTAACTGGTCTCGTCCTTCGCCGTCTCCCCTCTGCACGCGTGCGTCCTCTGTGTCGGCGGGGATTCTCTGATTCCAGCACGCAAAGTGATGGTGTGAGGACTTAAACCACCGTCGCTGCTGAAATACTTGATTAGTGTTGTGAAAACTACACCAAGCTAATTACTTGTTATTATACTTGTTGTTAACTTGCACGATCTTTTAAGGGAAGCGTCACTTGTACTTGTTCTTTACCAGGCAGAATACATCTAAGGAGATTAAGCTTGTGCTGGAAAAATGTTCTGTTTTCATTCAGTTTCATACTGATTGGTGGCGCTGGGGGGGCTTTGTGGGGGTTTTCCCCTACTCTTGACAGCATCTGTTACCACCCCCCCCACCCCCCTCCTCCTATTTAAACAGACAATCTGGCCTACGCACCGGTGCTTCGCTACGAGAACTTTTTTTGTGCTCGTCAGTAACTCATTCTAGCAAAGTTGTAGACTGTTGCTGCTTATTTTTAATGTGGATCTTTGTGCACGTAGATGATGGACTGTGAGTCTGTGGCAGCTTGTAGTTATTGAGCGTGGTTCGGCTTCGTAATGCAAGTTGAGGAAGAGCGGCGGACGTAGAAGATTAATGTCACACTAATGGTTGGCATGACTTAATGTACATGACTTATGATATCGATTAATCCCTGTGTTATTAAGGAGTAGGCAACGTGAATAATCTGGGTCAGCTAGTTAATTGAGTTTGTTCTCCTCTGAGCAGAACCACTGCCGAGGTGCAAGATGAAATTAAGGTTTTTCTTCTGTTTTTTTTCCTTATACATCCGATGCCACAATGTTTACAGTCACGTGGCAGAGTATCATTTTCTTGCTGGAGTGTTCTAAAGATGTGGAAAACATTGGAGTGTTTTTTTTTTTTTTTAAATCAACGATGACCTAAACGTACATGCAGATTCTTTTAAGGAGCACACGGCCATGAGGGCCACATCCATGGTTAGCTGGGGGGTTGAGAAAGGGCTTGGATGTCCCACTATGTTATACTGGTTCATACAAATCTAAGGCAGAAGACCGGTAGATGAGTATTCAAAGGAGGAGAATCTGCCTCATTTCAGTTCAGTTTACAAGGAAGACTCTCTTCTTTCCACTGTGTGCACAATTGTTTCCAGAGTTACTGGTCACGGCATTTTGTTGTTTTGCAACATTAAACCCACAAATGGAACGCCTGTGGCTTTTGGACTTTTTCTGAAAAGTTGTGATGGAAAAAATAGCAGTAAAATGACTTTCACTGTGTATACAGATAATTGAAATCTTCCAGCTATGCCTGTACATCTCCAGTCCTAGAGCTGAGGGAACAAGATCAATTCAAACCCATAAGCGAATTTCACTTCATGTCTTTCCAGGTAGAAGACGTCCAAACCACTGAACCATTGCTACATGGTGACGCGTGTCTGAAAACACAGCAGAACGTTTGATTCAGTAGAATTCATTAGTCATACAAGTCATGGAAGCCAATCCACGCTTCATGTCAGCTCATTGCATAAAGACTCACTGAACACAAAATCAATTCCCCGATAATATCTACCATTGATGACAAATCTAATCCGCTGCTTTGTGCTCCGTTGTGATTGTGGGTCCTCTATAAGGTTATTTCTCTATGTGAGAGTTTGCGTTGGCCGATGGGCCGGATGTCTAAACGCCTGAAACCGTGAATGTTAGATAAGGATCTTTGTATCTCTGCCGCCTCAAGCTCAACAAGTTGGTCTGAATGAAAAAGCAGTTGGTGAAACACATTTTTAAAATCTCAGTACTTTTCAATTTGTCTCCTCTCTCTTTTTTTTTTTCCAGTGTGCAAAGACTTTGCTGTGCTGGAGGACCACTGCCTGGCCTACAACCTCCAGGAGCAAGAAAGTAAGAAACTTCAAATCTGCCCCAACCCCCACTTTCGGCCCCTTTTTTATTTATAGACCGCTAACACTTACTCATTGCAAACGGGGACTTCTGCTGTGAATGTTTCAGATCACTAATCTGTGATCAACCGTAAACAGCCAGTAAAAAAAGCGCGACTGCTTTTTGTAAGACGAAAAACATTTTGTAGCTCCCACGCAGATGCTTGTCGGTTCATTCCTTCTTCCCCGCCAGTCTGTTTTGCACACAGAAATCGTTCCTTGTCTCTGCATGTTTTCTGCATCAGGCGCGTTGGACTATTTTCGTCAAGCCGCCCCGCTGCGTTTCCCCCTGCAGGTCATTTAACACTTACTTTGCGAAAGCACAAGCTATGAAACATGCTGTTGGCAGTAGAAAAATGAATGCAGTCCACATGGCTCCTCTTTCTTTTTCTTTTTTCTCCCCCTTCTGGAAAACATGTCAAGTCGGACGAACTGCGGCGTCCGTGGCTGCAGCGCAATTAAGCCGACATAAACCCTTCCTCCGCCACACCGTTAACTGTGCGAGTGGTGCAGGATGCCAGTATGCTGCTGCGTCAGGGCTGTGGCTGACTACAGCACAGGCCTGGTGCATGCCATGCGGTTTTGGAACACAAGCATTACTACAGGGGGGGTGGGGGGCTCGTATCTAGAACACATTGTGAGCCATAGCTGTGCGCTTATGTACAAGCCGTGCAGGTGTTTGTCCCTGCAGGACTCATTCATTTAGCTGGTACTTGATTACAATAGAGGCACTTTGCAGACTGACTGAAGAGGGTTTTTCCCCAGTTTGTGCACTGAGGTGATTCTAAGTTAAACCGTCTTGTCTCAATCACAAGCTTCCTTCTGCTATTGTTGCAGCTGCTGGCCGGAGGATATCTCAGTTCAGAGGCCATTTTCTGTCCCAGACATAACAAGCCTTTTTTTAACCTACGCAAATGAATACCCGCCGATGGCTAATGGCCATCACACTCATTCGTAAAGAAAAGAATCAAACCGAAAGAGGCCACTGATTTTTAGGTCGTGCAGCAAATGAGTCGGATACTGATCAGATATCTTTTTTCCGGTTTAATAGGAAGAAACGGATACATTTAGAGAGTAGACCGTGGAAGCTTGAGTGCTTTTTCACATCCGCACACGACAATGGTCTTCCTCTTACCATGTGTCACCATGAATGGTTAATTCTCTGAGCGAGCTCTGCGAGAGAGGAGGCCAGATGTCACCCAGGCGGACCCTAAGTGCAGATTAGGCTCCGTTTTAGCTGCGATTAATTTGGTTTTGGCTGGCCTTGTGTTGTCATTAACTCCTTTTAGAACCCTCGTGATCCACGAGCAAGGCTCGTATCCCTTGGCTCCTTTTGTTGACACACTGCACTGATCTCCTTTGAGCTGGAAAATCTTAGCGTCACCTTTGACCCCGGATGTCACTGAGGAGAATGCCAGCTGACAAAACCTGACTGTCATCCAAATTTGTAGTGTAACCTTCTTTCTTTCCTCGGATGACATCAACAGCTGGCCGTCCTAAAAGAGGCTCTTTGCTTCGAGTTCAAGGTGGAATTAGAGCCGGCTTTTATTTCCATGCAAAATGTTGAGCAGAAAGCATCCAAATCACACGTGGAACACGAGGTCCAGATAGTCCAACTGAACCTCAGAGGGTTGAGTTTGTTGAATGAACAGATGTCGCAGTTCTTTTTTTGCTGCTTTGAAAGGTTAATCAATTCTCTCTTTCGGAGATGTGGCGGTGGATAAATAACAGCCCTATCTTGAGTTGTGACATCAGCTTTCCCCTTGAAATATATTTTTTGTAAGGTGTCATAAACGTAAACCACTGATCAGTGTCATTCACAAAACAAACCTCCATGTGAACCCTGTGGCTTTTATCAGGTCTCCACAGCGGAGACTCTGTTCCCTCTTTCAATCCCTCCGGTCAGCTGGCAGAAACTTTATGGAGCCTTTCACCGGTAAATTGCCAAACGCAATCAGGCCCCTTTTCACACCAGCGCAGGTCGATATCCAGGTGAAACAGCTGCGAGTGAGTGATGCGCTCCGTGCTCAGAGTGCGTCAGCCGGCAGGATTTATCGCCCCCGCTGCGACCCGCGGAGCGCCGTCCCGCGACCTCGGCACGGCACCTCTGCTGCGGAAAGTCATTTGTCAGTAAGCGAGGTCGCTGCTTGTTTATCACCAGAGACCGAAGCGTCCGTGTTCTCACAGACACTGCAGCTCCTCAGAGGGAGGAAAAGCATCACAAACGCTGGTCTGCGTGAAATAAACTTGGTGTGTGTGTACACACGCACGCACGCACGTGTTGAGAGCGGCGCTTGTGTGTTTTGTGTCCCACAGTTGAAAGCCACTTGGCGTCCAACGTCAACAAGAGCCGTCTGGTGCAGAAGGACCTTCAGGTGGCCAAGAAGCTGCAGGAGGAAGAGGATCTGAGGGCCAAGGGCCACACCCAGAAAAAGCACATTGACATGTGGGTGACACACACACACACACACACACACACTTGTATATGTCTATACAAAAAACGCACACAATTGGGGGGGAGAAATTGACCATAAATCTATAACCTATAAATGCAACCTCATGTGATTACCTAGTGAAACATTTAATTTGCAATGTATTACTTATTAATTGTACTTTGATATGATTAGTGCGGTGGGATTCAATATTGATCTAGAAGCTTTTAGCTGATTATAATTGTATGTGATCATCAAACTGTAGCTATAATCATCCTTTTGAAGTGCAGAATTATGGGTCTTTATGGGTTTAGTTTCTAACGTGAAATGACCCTCAGTAAGAACTCCTCAAAATGCCTTTCAGAAGAAGCTGCGTGTAGTATTTGCTGCTTGGCGACTAGTATAATCTGGTGTAAATACTCCCGAACCCTGAACACAGCCATCAACGTGCTGCATCACTCCCGCCACAGACGACTCCGCTGTCGGGATTTAGGAGGTGATGTCCGGCGTTCACTACCAGCTCCTTTCAGCTCCGAGTGCTGGGAAGCAAAGAGCCAAAGGTTTAGGGTCGTTAGTCAGGAATCTGTTATTCTGATTTAATAAAGAGGATTACAGAGTTCTATGGTCAGCAGCCGTGCACTTGACTCTTTGTTATAAAGACCCAACAGTGTGGAGGAGGTTTGTGCTTAGAAAGGCTTTGCAACGCAAAGTGGATCACTCGCTTGTTTTTCTCCGTGTGGTGTCTCCAATCCTTAAAGCCCTGAAGTATAATTATATTTTCAAAGGGGGTTTTGGTCGCCTCCAGCTGCACGTCCAAAGCTGTGCAGCCGTCCACACAGACTCGCTTCTGTTGCCTCTGCTTCAGTCTGGACCAGTAGCTGCTCCGAAGCCCACTCGGGAGTCGGTCACCCCTTTTCTGCGCTCCGATTTGCAATAATATTGCTGACTCGCACCTTCTTAGTGGGATCACTGTTGTGCAAACGCACCCTGTCGCATAGCAGAGGGCGCCCCCGCGGAGACGCCAGATGCCGCGCCGTCGATGGAGGCGGGCCAAAGAGGCTTGCTGTGCTAGGAGCTCTCCATGCCACGCAACCGGCACCTGCCAGCGCCGCCTCACAAACACCCACTCAGACGCTTGACTAAACACAACATATCGGATGATCATGTACCACTTCTCTGTTCCAATCAAAAATGATTTAAACTGTGTAGCTCTTAGTTTTGATTGAGTTGATGTATTGAAGTTCTGTTGCAATGTAGAGGGGAGAGATATTGAAATAGATTTGTATATTCAAAGCTTTGTATTGTTCTTGATATATTTTTAAAAAGTAATCACAAGTGTTCTCATTATCATACTAACTTGTCTAAGCTTGTTGTTTTATGGTGAATGCTGCTTTTGATGTTCTCCAAACCCCTCCCTCCCCCCTCCCGTGTGCACGTGAACCCTCGGGAACCTCCAGTGAGCGGCAAGACAATGAGATCGCCCAAGAGATTCAGGACCAACTGGTCCGACAGGCGGAGCATCAGCGGCAGCAAGAAGAGAAGGACGCGGTGAGAAACGCACATTTCCCGAGGTTCCGTCAAGCACACAGCGTGTTACGCGCGTGTCAATGCGCCGCTGTGGGCGAGTCATTCCACGTGAATCGCCCCTTTGTTCCTGCCTCCAGATTTTTATAATGTCATAACAGCCACGGTGGCCTGGCCGGTTATTTGTCACAAACCTTTGAATCCCAATGTTGACACCCGACACACAGGGCATAGTTTTAGGTGTGTGTGCTGTTCAGTACCCGGCTGCATTTGTGAATGTCTTTCTTTTTTTTTTTTCCCACAATACTGTTGATAAACAAGACAGACAGTTTCGCCGGTGAGCTTGTAATTGTCATCACAATTCGATGACATAAAGTCGATATGGTTCAGGTCACGAGCTGCCACGGTTGATATTCTTATATTCTACTTTAGGTCCTACTCTTATCATCCTATACCACTAATGAGTTCAGTCAGCGATTGGTCTCATTGGTCCGTACTACTGTCGGCTCAATGATCCGGGAATCTTTTCACCGTAATCTTATATGTTTGAAGCTAAAGAGACTCTTGTAAAAGGAAAAAAAGGCCTCTGACAAATTCCATATACATTTTCATATTCATGCATGTTGTGTTTGTTTTATAGGCCATAGCTCGTAAGCTGCAGGAGAAGGAGATGAAAGAGGAGAGGAAGAGACAGAAGCAGCTTGAAGCTAACTTTGAGGAGGAGTACTTTGAGGATCACGGAGGTAACGAGAGCACCACTGACTCGTGTTCCTGTGTGCCTGTTCCTGTGTGTAAGGACAACAGAGGAGACGTACGTCCTGTTCTGTGGGCCAGGATGTATTCCTTCTTTCAGCTCCGGCTGTGTGACTGTGTTCCTTTGAAGCTGCGTGGCGCTGCAGGTTGTCGCTGACTTGAGGGCAAAGATTTGGGAATTTTCATTTTGCCCCCATTTAAGAACAAAATTTAACAGCTCTTAAAATAGATTTTCCCTTCAACATTAGATAAATATCTAGTTAGTGGGTAATAAATTCAGTAGGATTTACTCACTCATGCTTCTATTACACATCGGTGACGGACTCAGTGTCGCGCATTGGAATCTGTTTTCGTGCACATCATCATCATCATCGACTGCATGATGCATCCAACTGGAGGTCTGTTCCTTCTCTCCTGAAAGAGAAACAGTGGCTCATTTCAGTCCCACTCTCAAGATCGAGGCTCAGCGCGGATCCTTTTTGTAGAAAATGTTAATAAGCACCAGTTTGTCGGAATTAGAAATGTTTCTGCTGCTGAAATGTAGTTACCTGGAAGAATAGTGTGTTCAGACTCGCTGCCTCTCGGCCTGCTGGACCAAATGCTGCACTTTGCCTCCCAGTGTTCCTGCCTGAGCTATTGGCTGTGTGGTATTTTCAATTTGTTGACATTTTATTTGTAGAATGTGAGCAGGAGAGGAAAAAATATATATTTTAAAATAACACAAAGAACAGTCAGTCTCCACTCTGCTTGGTTTAGTTTTTTGTTAAGCAGAATATGTGTGTTCTCTGCGCTGCACCTGTATTCCAGAGACACAATAGTATTTACTTTCACTGTGAGAGCGCAGATGTATTGACCACGTGTTGTTATTGTCTGCTTTACAAGAGGTATTTTCATTTCTTTCCTTTCCTGAGGCCTTTCAGCCAGTTTCCCATGGATTACAGACTGGAGGCCGGACACACCTTTTTATGAGAAACATTTTTCTACTCAACTACTACTCAACCTCCCTAAAGGGTCCAAGGTCCTCAACTCATTCTCACAAATCCCGTGGGAAACTGTCTCGGGAATTTGAGGGTTAAACAGGGCGGAGGGGGGACTGTTGTCAAAAGAGAGGCGGGGTTTAAAGAAGCTAACAGGACGCAGCGTATAGTATCAGCAGAGGTGTGGACACGCCTTTACTGAGAAGGTGTGTCCACACTTTTGACTGGTACTTTATGTCCTCTGCTGTCAGTCTGCCGGTCATGTTGTGTCTCTAAAGATCACCAGCCTTCCAGGTGCTGCTTTACCCTTTTTCTAATGATGTGTCACGCGGCGGGTGGTCGCAATGAAGCCGCAGAGCGTCCTCGCCCACTGTGCCAATCTGCCCCGCTCTATTTACCCTAAACATAAACCAAAGGATTGAGCTCCTAAATCAGTGCTGAAAGGGCCTGCGGTCAGTCAGCACGTGGTACCCGTGCACCTTAAGGTGTTCTTCTTTACACCCTCAATCTCTGAGCGATGTGAAATCATCCAGCTGAGTAGTTTGCTGCTCCCTTCAGGGTGTGTGTGTGTGTGTGTGTGTCCGATCGATTGGATGTCAACCAGCCAGTTAGATAACCTGAATTCCATTGCGCTGACGGAGTGACGAGCCTCCGCTGTGCGCTCCCTCGTTGTGCTTTTCCGCTCGTTTGTTTCCGTTGACACTTCAGTCGACTCCCGGCTGGGCGCCTTCCAGTAGAGGCGAGCTTGTTGTTCTCGATCTTGAGTTCTGTCCGTGCACCGGGAATAACGCCCCCTTTCTTCGTCCATGTGAAGCGCGCTACGTATTTGTTTCAAGCGCTCCATCTAACCACTACTAACCAGGGTGCTACAGCACATGTTGTTTACTGTGTCGCATAAAAAAAGATTGATATTATTATCTTGTTGTAGCTCTCACTGCCTTTGATACTCTCACGTGCTGACAAACCATTTTAGCTTATGTCAATCCTGTCCTTTTTTGTTTGTGTGTCACGTTTCTATGTTCTCATCAACCGTCATCATCATCATCATCTTCGTCCTAGCCGCCCGCCCTTCTCCTTCTCTGCCCCGTTCAGCCGCGAGGGGACCGTTGGACCTGGACGAACACACCCGTCACAGGTCCACCTCCCCGGGTCGACTGGACCACTACGCTCCCCTGAGCGCACACCGTGATTACTCCCCAGATTACAGCTCCATGGAGACCAAAAGGAGCAGATACCCCAAGCAAGACAACAGCCGCTCCAGGAATCCCGAGCACCACCCCCCAGGGGCAGAAGGAGGGCGGAGCAGGCACGCAGAGCCGTACCCAGAACACCTGCTGACCCCTAGAGGCAAGCAGGGGGACAGATACGCAGATCCTGAGCCCACAGAGACCGGCAGAGCTAGGGGCCCCGGAGGGGATGACCCGGACCGAGCGGTCAGAAGGAAGGAAAGACCGGCCAGACCTCCTCCACCAAAGAGCCCCGTGGGGAGAGAGGGGAGACGGGACCGGGGCAGAGATCTGGAATGGGAGAGGCAGGTGGAAAAAGAGCCAAGGAGAGACAGGGAGCACGACCCAAGAGGGGCTAGAGCAAGAGACCGGGAACGATCCAGAGATGGGACGCTGGGTGGGGACGGACAGAGCGAGAGAGACGGGCACAGGCGGAAGGACAAAGACGGGCAACGAGCGAGAACCAGGAGCAGCGAGAGGGGACTGGAAGAGGAGGCGGGGCACAGAAGGGACGGGCCCAGAGAGGGCAGGGCTTCTTGGGAGGAGGCGGGGGAGGAGGAGGGCGAGAGGGAAGGCAGGGCCCGGGGCCGGCAACGTGTCCTCTCTGGCCCCGAGGACGTGTTTGACGTGCTGGGAGAGCAGGGCGGGGGTCGTTCTCACCCCAACGGAGAGACAGGTACCGCGCTGAGCCCCCTTTTGTGTGGTGTGCCGGAGGTTGTTCTCTGCTTTGCCAATCCCGGTGGTGGGTCGATCTAACATTGCAATCACTAATGAAGACGCTCATTTTCAGTTCTCACGGGGATGACGACAATTTCTGATGACTGACTGATTTAGATGGTTTGCAATGATTTGATTTATTGCTGTTGTGCTGTGGGGTTTATTTGGTTTTGTCTGCTGAGTTGTTGCATTGAGCGTTACAGGATTACACTGCTATTGAGTAACATGGCTGAAACGTGGCATTTCCAAGGGGCTTCAGGGCTGGTTATTTTGTTCCCCAGCTGTTTAAGGCCTTTGTCTTAACACAGTGATGGACACCGTGCACTGCAGCCCTTTTAGTTGCCTTTTTAAAAGCTTTAATCCACCTGCAAATGAATCTATTATTGTGTTGAAACGATGACTCAATCAGTCAAAAAACTTTGAATAATTTATCAATCAAGTAACAGAATATTGGGATTTTTTTCATTTTTTTGCAGATGTCTTAAAGACTTAACAATTGAAATAAATGATACAGGCCTACTGTGTTGTTGATATAATGTGCTGACATCCACAGGTCGCATCGTGCACCGCGTGAGCGGGGCAGTGATATCAGAAGCTGCGTACGGCGTGAGCGAGGCCACCAAGGACTTGACTAAGCTCGATGTCCGTGAGCAGGAGCTGAAAGACTTGGAAGTGGCCCGGAAAATGCAAGAGGAGGAAATCAAGGTGAGGGAGGAAAAGGAAAAGTGATGGATTTACTTAATTTGTGGGAATAAAGGGTGATATGAAAAACAAAAGTTTTATGCATGAGAGTGAAATCAAACAACCTAAAATACAATATAGTATGTTGAAGATATCTGATAATGTTTGCTTATGCATTTCATTTCAATAACGTCTTTCAGCTTCTTTGTTCTGATGATAGATGCCAGCATTTTGACTGTAAACTGAAATTAACACCTAAATACTGTAACTTCACACCATTGGACTTGTAATGGCGGAGGTTATTCGAATTCTGTTCTATTTTGGGACAACTATTTTAAATAAGGTTTTCATTTAGGTAATTCAAAGGATGTGTGAAGCTGTCATTCGGTTTGAATAAAGTTCAGCTTCAATAAGCCTGAACAAACATAGAAAAAAGCCTCCGTCTGTCGTTTCCTATGTTACAAAACGTTGGAACAATGTGTTCCACTTGGGGGGAAAAATGTGACTTTTTGTTCTCTGCTTTCAGGCCAGCAAGGGGCATGTGCGCACCGCCCAAGTGGCGCAGGATGAGGTGAGTGGCTGAAGTCTCACGCCGTCGTGCTGTTTGTTTTCTTCATATCCGTCATTTCCTCAGCTTAACCAATTGAATCGGTTTATAAAGCCGAGCCAAGTAGTTCCTCAACCAGACCAGATGTGAGAAGAAATAGAGATCCAATACATAGAGCTAGTGACTCGACATCCCAAACGTGGAATCCTGTAGGATACAGAGGTTTCTCTGGGGTTGCGTTTATCATTATGTTTCGGATGTCTCTCTGTGGCAGGAAATTGCCCGACTGCTGATGGAAAGAGAGAAGAAGGAGTACCGGAAGAATCGAGAGCGGGAGAACGAGCGAGAGCGGGAGAAGGAGCGAGAGCGGGAGAAGGAGAAGGAGCGAGAGAAGGAGAGGCTGGCCATGGAGAGGAAGGCAATGGAAAGGAGGCGGCTGGAGGGAGACTACAGGGTAATTTGCCTTAACCACGCTCCTTTTTCTTTTTAAATGAGTGCATGGGATGAAATGCCTTTTTGCAACGTCTGACGTTCTTATATCAATATATATAAAAGTGTGTTTCTACCGCGGTTCCAGAACCATAATGATTTGTGTTGGTTTGCAGCCGAGCGCGGAGGAAGTAGTCCGACCCAGAACACGAGATGAGCATGACTACCAGAGGCAGAGGGAGCGAAACCACAACAAGCCTGCCAGGTACTCAACCCCGTCATTTCTCAAGGCCGAATACTAAAGTCAGCCAAGGCGTGTAAATAAAATGATCTCTGTCCGTCTCAGGCCTCCTCAGCCTGGGGTTCACGACTATGAGAACGTGAACTCTGGCTACGGCTACTCGGACCACCCGGCTCCCCCCCGCGCCCCCACCAGACCGGAGGCTGCTTACAAAGGTTTTTATTGGTTTTATAATATGGTGATCACAGATTGATCATTAGATATTCAGCCTTAGCTCATTGATACAGCTACTCAAAGAATATCTAATGGGATAAAATAATGAAGTGATGATATATTTCTTACTCTGGAATTGATTACTTATTTATATCAGTGACGGTCTTTAACACAGCCCTCCTCCATCTCTTCCAGGTGGCTATCACCGGCGGTGACTCGGGCTCTCTGCTGTCATGCTGTCAGTCCTCCTTCATCCTCACATTTTTTTCTCTTAAAATTCTATTTTTTTTTTTTTGCACTCTCAATCAAAAGCCTTGACGTTTGGCCCAGAGTTAAAGAAGTGTAGTCTGTGGGTGCTGCAACAACACATCCTTTTTTTTTAATGTATAAGTTGTAGTTTATATTATTTGTTTTAACTGACTCAACATCACGACCAGCCAGAGAAACAGCCTTTGTGACACAACCTCCCCCTGATTCTTAGCTGTTGACATAAAGGAACCTGAACTTTTTCTGTGATCATTGTGTGCTGATGTTCATCCTTCCCGTGGACCATTCCATCAAAAGGGCTCACGGCCTCTGCTGGACGCAACCAGCCAATCTTAAAACTCCTCGTGACTCTTCATGGGGACGTGCCCGTCCGGTCCAACGCGGCTGCCACAGCGTCTTGGATACCAACATGGCAGCTGCTTTGTACCCGCGCGCTGAAGTTCTGCTCACTCGTCATGCTGTTACAACAAACGGCGTACAACTCCCGAGAACAAAAATAAGCTCTTATCAAGATGCTGGTGGCTTCGACGTGTTTTACCACGTGCACCAGCCCAGAGGAGGCGGAGCTTGGTGGATCATCCACGGACGTTTAATTGGCTGTCGCCTTTTTCTTCTTCTGCTTGTGAGGGGAACTTTGTAACTCAATCACCCTTAAAACTATGGATGGATGATGATTTGTGTGAGTCACTGTTTCTATGTGCATGCTTACTGAAAGTGTCCAACTGTGTACATGCATTTCAGCTCTATATCGGATGACCTTTGCACTCCGTTTGAAAGGTCTTCAGCCACAACAAGCCAATAATCCCTTTTTTTTTTTTTTTTTTTGCCACTATTTCATATCGAATCACCTTTTACAAACCAATGGCTGACCCATAAAAGGACCAGTACCAAAATGAAGTGCGTGTACATGGCTTGTCTGTCAAACCTGATATCATGCTTGTGCTTACGGCACAGATGTTGTGCAATTGAATATCTGCTCTTGTTTTATTTAAATGTAAATATCGTTTCTGTTGGCTTTTTTTTTTTTTTTTTACGTGTGCAACTACATTGTGTTTTACTCATTTTTTTTCTGAAAAGGGAGTTACTTTTTATACAATGTCTTTCTGCAGATTGTCCCTTCAGTCTTCTCTTAAGCTCAAAGGCAGACATCACTTCCTTGCTGCAGTAAAGACAAACATCCCCACAATAGATCTACTTCTGGACAGACAGAAATCTGTCCCCAGATCTGCTCTAATGTATATCTGTGCTCAAAGGGAACTGGTTTTGTATTATACCGCCTCCAGGATCCATTATTTTCTGTTCATATTGAATGAGGTGATTCCGTTTTTGACCGTTTCATGGTGTTTCCATGTCCCCCCCCCCCCCATTAGAAGTGTTGTTTGAGTTGTAAATCAGCTTCCAAAATGATTCCCTCCCGGTTGAGTGAACTGAGACGTTTGCATTGCCACGGACAAAATGTGTTTGTGTTCTAATGTGCTTATTTCTGTAGACTGAATGAGCTTTGCGCCGTGTGTTCATTTTATCAGGGACTTGCCAATGGGGAAAGCTTTTGTGGACGTAGCAGAGCTGCCAAGACGGGACTCTTTATTTATTCTTTGAGAGCACCACCATGTGGACATGTTGACAATTGAAATCAAATGTACAAAATTGATGTGATTGGGATGTCGTTCATCAGACGTTACTTTAGAAAAGAGTGCAGTCTACGTTGAATGCTACTTTATTTTCTTTAATCCAGGGCTTGTATGCAATTTGCCAATTGATTCAACAGTGTTGAAACTTGCTGTAAAAATGAAGGAGTTGCTCTTGTGGCATCTTGATGTAATAAACTATCAGCATTCCCAACTGCTTATGAGCAGGACTTTTATTAGACCAACACACAATGCTGCACCATCAAAACGAAGCGTCAGCATATTTAAATGACTCATTTAAGCCCTCACTTTTATTTCCAGAGTGTCCCCTTAATACAAATATAGAAAGACAAGGCGCCCAAAAAGACTCATAAGATGTGCACTCACTGCCTACTGTTGACTCATTCGAATGTTACATAATGTCTCTGTCCCGTTAAACCGGTAATTCTGGTCATTGTAAACAAGTCTGCACCTCAGCAGTACCAAACAAAAGTGAACCCGCTTCGATTATATATGATCAACTGGAACAATTTAACTCCGGGTTGACAGTGGCACACGGAGCAGAGGGTGTGCTGGGGAGCGCAAGGTTGGTAGTTTGAACCCTGGCTGTCCCATGTCAAGCTGTCCCTGAGCAAGACACCTAACCCCTAATTGCGCCAAAATGTAAAAATCATTAGGTTAAAAATTCAAAGTAAGTCGCTTTGGGACAAAAGCGCCGGCTAAATGACCTGTAATGTAACTTAAAGATGAACACTGTGCCATAGTGAATGCAGTACAAGCATTTGTTTCACTTTTATTGTTATTCACTGCAAAGATCATTTTCAGCATGTTTTATTTTTACATTTAAAAAAAAATCCTATATCCAGGACTACTTACATACTTTCATCTTAAACTCAGGCGTGTGCTCAATGCAATCATTTCCTTGTACATAATCCCAGGTCAGTCTTTTATTGCCAAGCTAGAGGAAAGTACAGTTACACCCTCCATCTCTGAATGGTTGATAGGATCTGGTTCACCAACATACCAGACATACTGAGGCCTCGTCTGCATGTGTTAACACCACTGCCATGCCCTTTATGTCACAACTAAACTACACCTCCTTAACCACAAAAATGGCTGCTGCCGTTTGAAAATTAAAAAAAAGAAAGAAAGCAACAAGGGTTGTTATATAGAACATGACATCCACTTGGCTCCCGGTGGCCTATCGGAGTAAATATCAAATAAAATGCTCTTCAGATGAGTTGAACAAAAAGTGAGTCTTACACTGTATGGTGACATTGGTGAATTCTACAACCAGTAAAGTTTTAAAGAAGTACAAATCAATTGTCCTCTCAGACTGGCAGGTGTCCTCGGTGCCGGATGCACATTACACACACGACCAGAAACAATGACTGAAATTTTCAATAGAAATTCACAGGCAAGGTTTCCAGCAGTGCGGGTAATAGAAACGCTGTACAAAAACAAAACCCTGTGGAGAGAAACGAAAAGTTATTTTGTGTGTCAACACCGCCTTCAGGTGTTGCGCGAGAAGCGGGGCCCCCGCGCGCTCCTCGCTGCGGGCGAACACTCATTAGTGAGCTCGAGCTCGTTGGACGGGTTGTCCGTTTAGTACCGCGACGCATCCCGGGTGTGACCCTGGTGGAATTCAGCAAACCGCCGGAACCGCGCATCCTTGCGTGCGGAAAGCCTTTGCCTGAGAGAACAGGTAACAGGTGTGTTCGCAGGTAAAGTGGACTCACCTGTCCTCCGACCGCCGAGGGGTCAACAGCTGCTGCCGCCGCCGCCGCTGCAGGACTTCACCGGGCCGGTGGGATTCACTCTCTATGTTCCGCGTCTCTCACCTGGCAGGTAAAAGCGCTGAGTGCTGCTGCCCGTCATCAGCAGCGCGCCGTGTTGGGACACGAAGACACGCCCACTTATATGAGAGAGAGAGAGACTCAATCCCTCACTCCCCTCGGGATGATTCGGTTCGTTCAGGTCGAGTTTCTCGCAACGTGCGAATCCTCCGCAGAGAGGACGGTGAGGCAGTGCAAGTGTTTTTTAATTAACCCAATGTCTTTCCTCTTCTCTCTCTGTCCGTCGAACCCAATGGGGGAGGGTGGGTGTGGTGCACCTTCAGGAAAAACCGGTGCAGGGAGTCACAGAAGTGGGTTGTTTTTTTTTCAGACACTCAAGCGATAGAACGACAGCTGAACTTTTGTCGTTTTTTTAAACTGTAGTTATATATACAGCATCTAAAGATTCAAACATACATATAAAATGGAGAATCAAAGAGTTGTTTAAACACCACATTACTGGTGTTAATCTGAACACGTTAATACTCTGTAGGATGTCTTTGTACAATGAACTGTATCAGCAGAGTTGTGCCACACCTTCGGCCGCACACTGTTCCTAAATAAATAAATCTATTGTAAACACAAAGTCTACCACAAGTCTGATGCCTGTCTTAATGCCAAAGAGGCAGCTCTGTATAGTATCCAATAATGTGAGATCTGACACTAGCCGTACTAGCCATTTCCTCCAGTCATGTTTTTTTTTACTAAAACCAAACCTAAACAACCCCCCCCCCTCCCTTAAATCTGATGGCCCCCTCACAGTCCCTCGCAGAGGATGCCATTTTTCTAAAGGTTTCAAATGGAGCTGCGGGTGGCATGTGTTGAAGGCCGGCATGTGAAGGAAGGCGAACATTCTCAACGTGGGCTGTGAAAAAGCGAAGCAGGCCGTTGGGCCCCGGGCGCTCCGCGCTGGGCCCGATGCAGGAATGACGCTGGACTGGTTTGGAGCCGCATCGTGGCTCCTCTACACAGGGAGTCACCCTTGAACGCATGCCCCAGCATTATCCGGTGCTTTGTTTTATCCTGCACCAAAGGACACAGCATTACCAGGTTTATTTAGGGATATCGATCTACTGCTACAGTTGTACTTTAAGAGAAAAAGCCCATTGGACAATCTCTAAAAAGTATGAGTATGAGAAATAAAATTGAATGAGTTTGTTTTTGTTTGAAGATGAAGCACCGACAAGTGAATGTTGTGTTGACTTTTTATTACAGTGTTTCATTCTAATCACATTAAAGGTGGACAGGTGGACAGCAGTTTGTTTGGCTTTCAGTCCACTACAAATCGCACAGGTATCACCTTTTTCACAAAAAACATTTGGACTTGGTCACAGTTAGAAAAAGCCCACGTCTAAACAATAAAATCAGTGCTGGCCGAATTCGGTCAGTGGTTCCTGGGGGTCGACGGGGAGGTCGTGGCTTCATCACCAACCCCTAAAATAGAAAAAGGCCATTTGTGGAACACTTGAGTAGAAAACAGACATTTGCAATGTTATTCCACCTGTGCTTTTCGTACTCTTTCAAGTCAAAATGTCTGAAAAGGGGGAAGTATGTCACTGCATGCATACTGTGTGAAGCCTTTTATTGGGGTACAGGACTGACTGGAATCAAAACCATATGCTACGGTTACAGGTCTCATGCTCACAGGGGCCACTAGATGGCATCTTCCTCTCACATTTCTTAGTACATGATGCCTCTTCAACAGCACTTTGCCAGCTGAGAAACTGTGTATGGTGGGAGGTGTGGGAGGGGTACTGGTCAGCATGTTGACTCATCATTTTGCATCATCCGTTGCTTTTGGCAGTCAGCCCTAAAAACATTGGAGGAAGGCACGTGTCTTAAGCCTACTTTGACTTCTTTCCTCTCTACTTGGCAACTCGACACAATAAATATTTTTGTGTAATTAACTCAAGTGCCTCACTACTATTCCAAGAACTTGAGATTATACTGTAACTCCGTCTGCTTCCTTCTTTTGTGTGCATGGAAGTGGGGCGCATTAGGCTTCAGGAAGCCAAGCTGCTGTTAACAGAAAGGCCAAATGTCAGACGGTAAAGGGGTTTGGCCTCGTCCCCTTTTGCAGGAAAAGTGAACTAGGATGACAACCTGCTGCAGGGATGACGTACTTTTCTCTTGAAAGAAAACCAATAGGATTCTCGGAATGAGTAGTTGGCCTGTGGCTGGTTTTAAAAGCTTCAAAATTCAAAAGAGGGATGTTTGATGAAGCCTATATTGTATTGCGGAACAAAATGTGAAAATCACTTGAGTTAACAACAAATATTATTTATTGTAGGAAAAAAAAAATAATTAAGTTATAAAGTAATTGACTATGAGACAAGGGAACCAAAAGTGAAAAAATGCAGTTTAATTTGGGGTTATTCCAGCAATGCGCTCTTCATAAGTGCTCAGTCAATGATAAGTGACTCATTGCTTCTCCACGTTGTGTCCACAGTCATTCTGGCGTGCTGTAAATAGCCAAATTGGTCTTATCAGTTGCAGGAGCACATCGCACAAAACCCATGTGTAAAACCTCATGCTCTTCCTGCCTTCCCAGATGATAGAATAGTAGATTAACATTTTGTTATTCTTGCGTGAAAAACAACTTTAAAAGAGTTTGAATTGTATCTGCTGCTCGACAATCCTGCTCCTGTTTTATTGAATGTAATCATCAGTAACACACGGTAGTAATACAGAATAAAAGGCACTGCTTAAATAGGAAAACATACAACAGATCTCAGAGGACTTTAGTTTCCTTAAAAAACATTAAATACCATTCACCCTCTGGTCATTTTCTATTCCATGTCCACACGTGCATTTTTTGCAGGAAACAATTCCAGCCTTGCTGCCACTATCTTTGTTTTAAAAACCTTTCAGGGAGTATTCATTGCATCATTTTTTGTTTTTACACAAATGCAAATGTTAAATGTGTTTTTAATGTCATCTCAGCGCTTCACATTAGGCTTAAATGTTTCCTCCACACAGCAACATGCTGGTGTGAAAGCAGGACGGGGACCTGCTGCAGTGACAGCTTCAGGGCCCAGAGCCTTCCTGTCAATCAAAAGGGAAATAACCTTTTTTTTTTGACCGGAGGATTTTGGTAAATAAGTTTATAGCTTCAGGGTTCATATAACTTTAGTTGCAAATTGCCCCACGTGTGTTATTTTACCTTCCGACGGTAGTTTGCCGTTTTTTGTGCGCTGCATGTCCTTGAGACATTTTCCTGATATTGTCACGGCAGTGCCATGTGGTCATCAAAGATGCAGCTGGAATTTCCTGAAATAAAGATTGACCCGAGCGACCCGTTTAAATCCCTGTTAAACAATGCTGTGAAAAACAAAAGCTGCCCGTACAGGAGGACAACATCAGTTCTTTGTCTGCGCCAATTCAGAAGGGAGCTGTGACTCTTAACTTTCGTGCGCAGTGTTTTGATTTTGGCTTTTTTCCCCAGGAAAGGGTGGAAACTGATCCAATCTGACAGACAAATACAGTGTTTACAAACTGGCATCTCCTTCACCAAATATGGTGTAATCATTTGGAAATGTAAGTAAAAGGCGATAAACAAACAGTTTGGACTGTAATCAACGTCACTTGGGAGTTTGATGATGTTTTACGCGTTGGTTTTCTTGTTATTGTTATTGACATGTACACACTCAATAGGCAAGGATAGCTCTTGCTGCTAAAGTGACTTATTTCAGATACTTTGTGAGATTTAAAAAAAAAATGGAACGATTTCAACGTTGAGCTTACGTCTTATTCACGTGAATTTGATGATATGTGGGGACTTTCACACCAGGGACCGCAGTGGAAGACAGTCCTCATGTATTTGCGGTCATTTGTGAGCTGGATCTGATAAGCCGGACCCTTCCCATCATCCATCGTGATGGGAAGGGTCCGTGGAGCGGAGACCCCCGCCCCCACCCGTGCGTAACACGCCTCGCTCCATTAAATAGAGGTCGCAGAGGAGCGCGCGTAAAACGGTGGGAAACGCTGCGAGGAGGCATCCACACAGGGAGATAATTTCCCTTTCCCTTCAACGACCTCTTTACGCTTCCATCTGGACACGATGGCCAACACCGGACTGCAGCTGCTCGGGTTCTTCCTCTCGCTGGCCGGCCTCGCCGCCACTGTCGGCGCCACCTTGATGGTCGAATGGAAGAAGCAGTTCCAGGGCGAGACGCACCGCATCTTCGAGGGCTTGTGGATGAGCTGCAGTGGCAACGAGAGAACGACCTGTGAATTTCACCAGTACCTCCTGAAGCTGCCGAGTAGGTTTCTTTATCGACGCATCTGCATCTCCTCCAAAAACCAGGCGCTCCTCGTTGAGATACCTTCCACTGCCGATGAGTTACTATAATTCGACACAAGTGCGTCTTTGTGGTAGACGAGCTCCTTGGATTGACCTCCTCGTGGCTTTGTGCCATGTCTGATTTTGACGCGAGGTGGAAATTCTTTAGCATGTTTTTGTTTCAGCTTTATTTTCCTTTGCTCAGTTAACACAGTTTTAACGTTAAGCCGAAGAGTCCAAAGAAAAAAAGACTACAGTTGCAATACATTTAGTTACAGAAAGAAGCAATACGATTAACATTTTCTGTTCCCGGGTGCACTTTATTTTTAATATAATATCTTTAACTTTTATTCCTTTCATTTTTAAACTAACCCATAGCATTATATTTTATTTTATTCCTCGTGCACTGTTGTCTTGTCGTCCATTGTCGTACTGTCTGCTGTTACGCGCCAACCGCCAAGTCAAATTCCTTGTCTGACATATTATGGCAATAAATGTAATAAGAATAAGACCGAATTGATGAAAAGTTCACCGTTTAAATATATCAACATTTCCCTTTTCTGCCCTAGCTGAGGTCCAGGCCACCAGGGCCGTCATGATGCTCAGCATATTCCTCTCGGCTGTGGCCCTGTTGGTGTCCCCAGTGGGGATGAAGTGCACCCGCTTCATGGACGGCAACGAGGAGAGCAAATCCACGACAGCTATGGTCGGAGGAATCATGTTAATGGTTGCAGGTGGGTCTGACAGGCCTCCACTCACACTCACACTGGATGATACGTTGAATATAATGTGGTAAAAATGTTCAGATTCATCTCACCTTTTTTGTCAGCCTTTACTTCACCTGGAAGGCTGAAGGAATTGTCTTAATCCCTCTGTTCTCCTGGCCAGCATAGGCAGCAGTAGTTATCAAACTAAATAAGAACTAAACACTAAAGGGATTTTACAATTTAGAATAACAGTTCTAATTCGTAAAATGTTTCTTTCCATAAACAACCTAAAGGCAAAAACAACACAATGGCTCCTTTCGTAATTCAAACTTTGTGAAATTGTAAAAACAGTGGATCATGCACTGGTATAAGAGAAGATCGTTGTTAACTTCTATCTTCCATCTGTGGTGTGTCTGCTGCAGCTGTTTCCTCCCCATTAAGAATACACAAGCAGTGCATAAAAGAACAAGAACGACATCTGAGTGAAAGTCTTCTTAAAAAATATGATTAGCGGCATTTAAAACTTTTCATTGTGTTTTCATTGTTCAGGATTATTGACCCTCATCATAACATCCTGGTATGTTAAAATGATTGTTCAGATCTTCGACTCCAATCACCTGCAGAGGTAAACATGCGTGCAAACACACACACACACACACACACACACACACACACACACACACACACACACAGACAATTACAGTTAAATGTGATTACTGTGCATCTAAATGTGTGTTTTCCCCTCTGCAGCTTTGAGTTCGGTAACGCGGTGTTCGTCAGCTGGGCCGGCGGCATCCTCACGATGGCCGGCGGTGCTTTCCTGGGCTGCCGGAGATGCTCGCGGTCCCAGTCCACCGGCTCCATCAGCTCCAACCTCCTCTCCACCACCCACCCAAAGTCCAACTACGTCTAGGGGAGGAGAGCGCTGGATTTACCAACAGCAGCAGGTGGTGTTTCTACAATGAGGACAAATCAGGATTATAAATACTCAACACCACCTGCTGAACTTCAAGTTAGTGACCAGGATCAGGATTACACCAAAGATCAAGCAGCTTGTTCTCATTTTGAATCCCATTTCATGCAGTAGCTTGAATATTCTCCCTTTCACCATAAAACGGGTTCGGTTGTCACTTAGGTGCTGTCAGTCACAGTCAGCTGTTGGTTCCATCGAGAGAAATACAAGTAAGGGTTCCATTCTTAATTGAATACAACAAATGGAAATATTAAAAGAAGAAGTGCGCAATGTGGTGCAGGACTCTTGAGTCTTAGAAACCCACAGAAATCCTGTTGGCTTCGTACCGAGGGAACATGTGCGATGCTCCACAAGAACAAATCCTTATTTCAATAGTTTGCACTGTAGACACAAAGCTTTGACACTTGCAAAGATTGATTTTAACGGTGTACATTGTTGTACAGTTCATTCCTCTTCAGCTTCACACTGGGTTTTAATATAGAATGTTTGTGCGATGTTGTTCGTCCGTTTTTATATTGCCTTGTCGTACTTTAATGTCATTTTGCAGAATAAAAATAATGTAGAAACATTCTGTCAACGTTTTGAATAGAAAAAGAAAATAGTCTTGTCTTCTTCACTTTGTGTTCTATGTCATCTTTTTCATGCTACTTAAATGACTCTTTATACTTAAAGTGAGACTCCCATGTTGCCGTCCAAAGCAATCCAATATTCTTTTTATTAAGGCGCGCTGCACACCCACACACACACACACACACACACACACACACACACACACACACACACACACACACACACACACAGATACAAAGTGTCCCATCAGCACTCCCCCTTCCCCCTCCCACCAAATGGCCAGAACAATACAATACAATACAATACAATACAATAAACGACTAATTAGTGCGGGAAAGTCATCCTGGACGGCGTTAAACAACCTTGTTTTTTCCACAAACAGCAGGGGACTTTGTTTTGTCCTCCGCGGATGTAAACTAATCAGGAATCTCTCTCGGGCTGGGAAACCGCTGCCCGCACGCTTCCTGAATCCTCACAGAAGAAGGAAAAGTAAAAATGTATGTAAATCTGCACAGCAGTTCAGCCGTGCACAGTGCCTGGTGAAATATACTGGGATTTGCTGTAAAACCTGTCTTTGTTTTCATAGCAAAAGCGACATGTGACATTTCACCATCTTAGTAAACCTCAGGGGGGGGAATTCTGAAGTTTGGTCTTTTTGTGCCGAAAACACTACATTGACATTTATCACTCCGTCAGAAATACATTCACTCAAAACAAGGACATCATTCAAAGTGAAGGGATTTGCTCAATAATGCAATGCATTGTTTATGTATTAAAGATTCAGGCATGTGTGTGTGTTTTTTCTCAATGAAGCATTGAGAGGTTGTTGTTGTTAAATGACCTCCAGAGGGAGCCAGTCTCCTTTAGGTGGGTTGTGTGTGACTTGGCCTCCAACCGTCAGAAACTAGTACACAAGGCAGCAAGTATTTGTACATACAGCTCATAATGTATTACCTATATTAGGCAAACAAGATCAAGAACAAGAAGAACAAGATGTATCATTGCGTCATTTTCTTGAAGAATATATTTTAAGTACAGAGCAATATTCATAATGAATACTTAACATTAAATCGAAATTGAATTAGTTTGAATTAGTCACAATTTTAAGTGTTTATATGCTGCCTGATCAATAGTGCTTCGTGTTTTTAGTTTTTGGTCCCCGTTTGTTTAACAAAGGACATGTTTAAAGTCGTTTAATTCAAGCACCTTTTTCTTTAAAGTCCCCTCAGCTGCGCAGCTCCCGCCTCCCCGAAGGACGCTCGCGGGTCCCCGCCGCGCTGCTCCAGCGGCCCCCGCAAGGAGAGCCGTCATCGCCCTGCGGCCATTCGCGTCTCGCCGGAGGGGGGAGGAGCCAGCGCAGCCGGAGAGGGGCCCATTACAAAATGTGTGTCCCCGACTAACGCAGCGTTATTTCCGCCTCGGTCCGGTGCCGTCCTGCGTTATCTCCACCCGGAGCTTTTTAAACATTCAAATGGACTCAAAAACGAGTCGAAGCTGATCGCAGTTGTGACCCCCCCTTCCACACCCCTACCCCCCCCCCCCCCCCCAAGAGAAAACCTTGGCCGGGGGGAAACCGAGAAGAGGAGGGGTTGAAAGTTCTCACCGGCTGCTATCTTCTCGGTCGTCCTCCTCCTCCTCCTCCTCTTCCTCGCCGCCGCGCCGTCATCTTCCTCAGCCCCCCCGGAGCCCTACGACCTGCTGTACGACACCGCGGTGCGGGCGTTTTACAACAGCGACTACGCGGCCGTGGCGCGCCACATGGAGGGCGCGCTGCGCGCCTGCAAGGAGGTGCGGAGCTCCAGGGTCCGGTGCCGGTTGAGGTGCCAGGACCAGCATCCCTTTGACGCGACCTTCTCGGACCTGCGCTTCCCCGACGTGGTTCTGCGGAGAGCGGCGTGCATGAACGCGTGCATCGAGGAGAGAATCGGCACTCAGTCCATGCACAAAGTCGGCGAGGATGTAGTGCAGGACTTCCATCGCAGGATCCCTTACAACTATCTTCAACTGGCGTATCGCAAGGTGAGCATCCAAAAGCATTCCTCTTTTTTTTTGTTCATCCACGCAGAGAGACGGGAGGTCTGCTGCTCCTGGGGATTCAATAGTACATGTGTAGATGCTGGTATTTTTACATGAAATAATAAGTTCCTCGGTTCATAAGTAAATCTCCATGTAGTACAGGGGGCATTGGCCTGGAACTTCATTGTAGTTGAACTGTATAAAACGCATATTTACAGGTCCCAATGTGGATATTAAATAAACAAATATTAGCCAATATTTGCTTTGAATAATGACAATAAAATGGCAACTTGAGGAGAATAGCTTTAATTGATCAACAGGAGGTTTTGAAAGTTGAACGATTCGAAGTTGAGGCTAAAAGATGATAAACATCTTTGATTTCAACTGATCTCCTATACAGAATATATACAAACAAAAGCTTAAAGCACCCAACAATATGCAAACCGCTCAGCAGAAATAATCCGCCGATAAACCTTTGAGATGAATTTCGATGTGCCTCTGCGTCTGTGTATCAAACCCATCTCAAAGAACATTGGTTTTGGTTGCTGGGATCAAGGACCAGGATGACTCTACACATGTGTGCGCACGTTCAGCCACACTTTGGATTTTTATTGCTCCTCTGTGAGCAGTGTTGTTGGGCGTCAACAAGTGAGCGTGCACAAGCGAAGATTTACTTAAAAGAACACTTTGCAAGGCTGAACCGGCGTCAAATTCCATGTTTGCATAAGAAATATTTGTCGTTCACTGTACGAATCACACACATTTCCAGTGTCTGCTGATGATGTTTTGCGGAAGGCCTGGGAACAATCCAGGACAGCGGGGAACACCGACCGTGTGATATATCTGTCTGTGAGGAGTTTGCTGGTCCTGGCGAATATTTACCACCCAGACCAGTTTGTATTTTGTAGTTTCACAACAAAATCGATATTGGTATTCAAACCACCTTAAAAAGAGTTGGAATCTCCCATATGAGTCGGTGTATTCGTAGTTTTACTGCAGGTATTGGTCAGCACGTTTTGTGTGGAAGAAGATACAAAGCATTACATCCCAAAGGTCTCCCAATCTTCTTGTATGCTGAGCATTATCTGGGACTTCTGACAGATGAAAAGAGGAGAACTTGAGCTTTGCAAACACTTCATTCAACAGCAGGGCATCCAATAAGAAGTGCGCAAATATCTATACAAAGAAATCCTCTTTCTGCATCCGTCTGCCGCGACAGCAAAGCCAGGGTCAACTCCAGGGTACTTTGTGTTGGGACACTTGTAGTTTCAGTAGCAATCACAAGGCAGTGACTTCATGAGAGCAGCAGACTGTGTGGAGCTCACTGGAGAAGCCTTACATGCACCCGAGACTCGGTCGACCTCCACCGTTGCTTACCTCAGACCGGCTCCAGATGCCGGCGTGATGACACACAGCTTCCACCTCTCAGGAGTGGCGAGAAGTTCACAGGCTTCGTCTGCCATCTGTCGCCGGGCGAAAGCGTTTCCCCCGTTCTGCCTAAATCGGAGCTGATGCCAGCCTGCATAAAAGAGCCCGCTCCTGTCTAGACATGATTGTATAGACACTGCCTTACCACACAGAAACAAACACACACACACACACACACACACACACGCGCTCGCCCAGCTGTAAAAAAGCATTACGAATCTTTTGTGAAAATAATTATGATTTCTTAAACATCTGTTGGGGGAAGAGCTGGCCCCAATTAGTTTTGTTTTCTCTCCCAACAAGGCAGAAACCGCAGCGCTCATGAATGTTTCAGCGGATCTTTTTTTCCTGACCTCTGCTGTGTCACCTCGCATGTTGACGTCTGTACAAACTAAGTATGTGGCAGCACATCAAGGCCCTTAGACCCTTGATGTTGATCTTAGCCAGAGGTAAGGAGAGGCCGACCTGCAGCCCTCCCATTGGCCAGCCCGCCGAGAGCACATCAGACCAGTCAGTGTGTGCATATGCACATCTTCTACATGTGTGTGTTTAGGTGTGCAGGCGCCTTGTGTGTGTGTTAGTTTGGGGGCAATTGGTGGTGTTTGTGAAAATAAATAACATTCCAGCATCACACAGCCTCCTCCTGACAGCCTCACAATGTGGCCTTTGGGCCTGTTAGAAGAGGGTCCACAGTCAACAACGGTTCTCTTTGCTCCGGCTCGCCCGTCATTTAGCCTGGCAAATATTTTATTTTCCCGTTGTAGTCTGTTTGCTTTCCTAAAAATAAGAGAGACACGCCACCTTTTGCAGGTATTAAAAGGGAGGCTTCAGGGCTGGAGCCTGATGGCCTCAAGTGACCTCTGGATCAGTGAGTTGCGCAACTGCAGAGGGATCAGAGGCCCCGAACTGTCCTCAGGGGCAAGAAGAGCTCATGTCTCCAGCCTTCATGTCCTTGATCTGATCGGACTTGAAACTCTGCTGTTCCAAGGAGCAATTATAAAAGAAGGATTTATTGTTTCTGCTCTGTTAATTCATGAATGTTTAGTTTGATTATGAATGAATGATTTACGGTCAAACATTTACATTTTCTCTCCAGGACGTTTTTTGGACGAAATTTGACACAGAATGAATTCCTAGGAATTTGGACACAACCACAAGCAAATCTTCCTTTTGTTTTGAGAAGTTCCCCGTGCGTGCCAGCATGACGTCAGAAGACGACTTTGGGTCAGGACAGCCTCCTCTGAAACCTTCTCTTTAAAGTCTGACCCATTTGTGATTGCCCTGCGACTGTGCTGATTGGATTACAACACAGCAGGCGGCTTGTTGCTCGAGCTCCGTCCCCCTCAGACGGACCACGTTAGGGGACCAAACCCACTGGTTTGGTTGTGATTAGAGCTTTTGCGCTAATGATCGCTGTCAGTTTGCAATAAATACAGTTGCTTAGCACCTGGGCAATGGAGGGATAATATTGCAGGTTGACGGTCGTGCACAACCACGGCATATTTCTAGCAAGAGAATCCTTGAACAAAAGTAAACGACCACCATCACCTACTCCTCTGCACACACTTACTGTGCCAACATGCTGCTCCCCCTCAACTAGCGCGCCGTCCTTTTGCTTTGCCCAGACAGTGTGGCACTTGGCTCTGCCAAAGGCCTTCCTGCATGACTGGGTACGAGCGGATAACACCCAGGAATGTTGGGGGCACGCTGTGACAATTAAACGGCTGCGAGAGAGCTGCAGGCTGCTAATGGGCCACTGCGGTGGTTGGTGGGACGGGACGGGACGGGACGGGACGGCAGCAGGTTGTGGGAGGGAGTTGTTCTTGGCTCGGTCTGGCCGAAAACTCCCGGCTGTCTGAGTCAAGGATTCATGCTGGGATGGAAAAAACAAAGTTTGCCAGGCATCTGTTCAGCCTCACTCGTGACTTGGACTATGTGCTGGCTGCTGCGGCGATGCAAGCAGAGAAACCGCTTCCGTCCGTCACGTTATCTTTCACACACCAGCCACCAGCTGGTGTTTCTCTTCCATCATGTCGTGAAGAAAAGAAGTGGCTCACCTGTCCGACACACACTTGCCTTCACGTAAACCGATGTTCTCCTTCGCTGACTTTTCGACACAAAATGTGGTCGACGTCGGAAAGTTTCGAGTGTGTGCTGGAATGGATTCGCAGTAAATGGTTGCATCAGAGAGAAGGCAGCTTCTAAGCTGAAGACCAGGCTGACGCATTAATCTCTGCTGTTATTCAGTGGACTCGTGGCCGAAAGGCCCAGTGTGCACCCATTAGCGATGTTGTTGGTTTTAAACCGTTTGTTCACGCGGAGCCTGTAGAGACTATTCTGAGTGTGAGCAAAAAAAAAAGTTTGGTCTTGACAGAACTGTCGGCACATATTTAGGCCAATATTTTAGTCCACACAAAAAGCAACCGTGAGCTATGAATTGGTCCAACGTCTCAGGTCGCTTCCGTCTTTCGGCAGATTATTTCTCGAGAGCTGTAGACACAACAAAGAGGGAACAAGAAGTCAAATCTGAGATGTAAAACACTGGGAAATGACGTCGTTTTCAATGCAGCTCTATTGATTTAAAGTAGATCGTTTTGTCTCTCAACAGCTTGAATGTACACGGTGTGTTTTGATGAACATTCAGTCTATATTTAGCCCTGCACCCAAGTGAGAGCTCCCCTGGTAAGTGTTTCACGACAGAAGGCCTTTCGCGTTGAGTGCGTGTTCCCAGAGGCGGGCGGCCTGTCACAGCCTGTCTTGTTGGGCAATAAACTAATAGCCGCTAGTAGGTTAGTGCTTCTGGCTCAGTCTGTCGTGACCTTTCTGAGCTGTCTCGTTTAAGGTTATTTCTTGTAATGTTTGAAATCAGGAAAATTCGCCTTTGGGCTTAATCTTAATTTGCGCCTGATACATACATGACGTAACGGATATCCAATTTAAAACGTCTTCTTTACGCAGATCAAGATTGTACATTTTCTAATTGGATTTGAAAAGGTAAATTCTGGATCCTGTCCACAACCCTCATGTACATCTCAGAAGTCCGAGACAATCATCCTTTTGTGGGCGGCTTGTTTGCCTTCTTGACCCTGCAGCTGTTTCCTGTGAAATGCAATTACAAGTGTTGATTGTTTACTCAGGCCCTCTCTGCTGTCGTCAGCCTGCAGGGCGATGATCCCATGGTGATTCTCTAGCTCATGTGTGCTTATGTGGCACTGTTTATTTGTGCCGAATGTGTGGGAAACTGAGGTATTCAGTTGGTTGGGGAACCCCTCCCTAAAGATGTCTTCAGTGGAAAATAATATGTTTTGAATGTAAATGACATGAAATCTCCAAGAAACTCATCAAAACACAAGATTTGAAGTGGTGTTTTTGTTGAGTCTTCATGGAGAAGCGGATTTGTTGGTTAAGTAGAGATGAAATTTCAATCAATTTCAGTCAACTGAGCTCGGCCCTAAAGTTGATTTCGGCTAAAACGTCTTGTCTGGTTTTGTATTAGGAATGTTACCATGCAGATGTCTCTATTTCACTCCATGAAAAGGCAAAATTACAACTCTCGGAACAGCTGCACAACACAC